TAATGCAGCGAGAACCAAGCAGAATCGTCGTAGAATGCGCCCGATCTCGAACCGCGCTGTGAAAGAGCCAAAGAGAGAAGGCACAGGCCACAGAGAGCGCCTGCCCTTCCACACCCGGGCCTGTGACAGGTCTTGCGGGCGGGTGCCCCTGTGCCCCTGTCCAGGTATGCCTTGTTCCCCTCTACCCCCTGGCATCGCCAATTTACCGATTCCACGCGGCGCAAAGTGGAAGTGTCACTGCGCCGGGAGAAAGACCTGAACGGGCAAGACGGAACTGGAAGAGGACGAGGAAAGAATCAACGCATCCCGGCAACGTGCTCCATTCAGTCCGGTACTATTCATTCGCTCGACATCATCCAACTTTATGCCCTTTTTGTCACGTTCACTTAAGTTTTCTCTTTGAGCCTTCGCCTAATCCGACTAAACCCAGACCAGGCTTCTAGAGAGGACACTAACGGGACCACTCCGGACGCCAAAAGTAACAAGACAAGGGCCACCCCCCAAGCCAAGAACCACCACCTCGACGGGCAATAATCCCAACACGACCACCCAATCTGCGCTCGGCCCACGCCTTCTTTTTCTTCCCAACCGTCCTCCAGATACAAGACTTTCTTCCCACTTTGCAATCTTCAACCTTGCTAGGGGCCCTTTTCGCTTTCTATCCCTCCAGCCTAGGTGCCGCACGAACGAGATAACGAGGACGACCGAGCGAGCAAGCGACAGCCCAACGACCTGGACGAGCAAGCCAACTGCGCTACACTACACTACACTACACTACGCTAGGTGCATCGATCGAAGCGAGCGAACGAGAGCGAGCCTCCCCTCCCGACTGCCAAATTGTGATACGCCCTCACTTCGTTTTATCGGCGCCCGCCAGACACTCGCTGATACCAAGCAAAGCCCGCAAAGCCCGCAAAGCCCAGCCCTCGTTCCTGGCCTTCCGCCTCCGAGACAGCGTGACCGCATGCTACAGTCGACCGAGACATCGCTTACTCCGATCACGGCTTGATATTACCGGCCCCCGATCCCGTTCCCCGAAAGCTGAAGCACCACGCGCACAGCCCGGGAGGCCCTGTGACGTCGTCCCTAGGCGCACCTGCTATACCCGCCAGCCCTGCCAGCCCTGTGTTGTCAACACTTGTCGCGAATATTGTCTGACTGCCTGCCTGTCTGACTGCTTGCTTGCCTGCCCTCTTGTCTGAGGGGTCATCGCTACCCGCGCCAGGTCTCGCTGATCTGCTCATGATAGACGACTAATACAGCACTCCACGATCCTGTCTGGTTGTGAAAGCAAAAAAGGCACCCGAGGGCTGCTGTGGCATTCGGCCCTTCCTCCTCCCGCAAATAGGCCTCTATTCTCTTGTCTAGATGATGGTGCGTCCGCATTTCCTCCCTCGCTGGTTCCCGACTCCCGGATGCCGGGATTTGGATCCATGCTCTCGGCGGAGCCGCACGTCAATTTCCGAATATGGATACCGCGTGTCGCTTCCTGGGCGATCGTCTTTGCATGGGAGACATGGAAAAATTATGGGTCCTTGTGGATCGGGAGAACCTCCTTTCGACTGACCAACCTGTTGTTATTCCAGCAGACCTCATCCCGTCCCCAAGGCGATGTTGGCTCCAGTTTCGCCAGCCGACGCGGCCACGACCGACTGTCGATATCCGACCCTAGCCGCCACGTCACCGAGACCATAGGAACCATGTACGAAATCGACGACGACGACTCCGGTCCCGAAGACGGGCGCCGGGCTAGCCGCCCCCTTAGCTTCATTGCGACCCAGGGAGACCACTTGGAGCGCCTTGCTAGCCTCGCCGAGGAGCCCTCCGAGGAGAACTCGGGGGATGAACTGCGCCTCGTCAGGACAACCTCAGACAAGACCAAGTCAACACTACACGACACCACTGGCGGAAAGGGGGGTGATGATGGGTTCATAGGAGGACACACCTCGAAGGATTCCAGCACCTTCCCGGCGGAGATATCAACCGATACGAGCAGCTCGTCAGAAAGGCCGGCCTCCCCGCTTTCGCCCGCGCGCTCGATACGGGATCTCCAGGCCGACGGGTCGGCCTCCCAGTTCCCCATGACGAATATCGACGACGCCAACGACATTGCACAAGAGCTGAGTAATCTGCAGGCGCTGCGACGGATATCGATGGATGTTGGGAATTTCAACGATCCCGATCTCCTTCCTTTCTCGAATATGGGCCTTGTACAGTCCGGTCCACCAACGGGCGAAGATGACGAAGCAGACCCGTCCCGCCTGCTATGGGTACCTGCGAGAGTACACCCGGAACTCGAACCTACGGCGTTCAAGGACTTCCTGGAGAACCGCGTGCAGGCAATAAAGCGGAGGTCCAGTGACTCCATGTTGTCGATTGACCTGAACCGAAGTGACTCGACAGGTGGAGGGGGCTTGAGGAGAAAAAAGTCAATGCTCTCTCGCCAAATCAAGCCGACGAGTGAGGGCATTGACTACGTGGATGGCGCAGAAAGGCTGCAACGGCAGCGCTCCCGGCATGGCGATGGCAACCCAGAACCTAGCCTGAACGAGTTGGTAGATGATCCTACGAAAGCAGTCAAGAAGCTGGCGCTTGAGACTCACCAAGAGGTGGATGAGGGTGACATCCCGATACTTCCTGCTCCAAGTATGGGTGGTCTAAGACGCTCCACAAAGACGACATACAGAAAAAGCGGCAGTATACGCTCGAACAAAACGTCATTCTCAAAAAGGATCTCCGGAAGGCAGTCATCCGAGCATGAAGATGATATGCCCCCTGTTCCGATAATGGACGAGGCGTCAAGTCAAGGCCTGAAGAGGGTACAGTCCGAGTCGGCCCTGGCCGATCTCTACTCACAGCCCGAGAAATCGGTGCAAATACGGCAAAATTCTACGCACGAGACCCCCGGCTCATCCGAAGACATATCTGTACGACGATCGTTAGAAGACACACCCAACAGAGCTCTTCAAGATGAACCAAAGCTGGCCAGCCCGCCTGCCCCGGCACCAGCGGAGGTTCTCCCTGTCAAGAAGACTGCATCCATACCGCCACCCACAACCGCCCCGCCGCCGGTGCCTGCAATCGTTCAGACGCCACCAACAGAGACAAATAAGCAGACTCTGCCCGATAGATCCTCCACTCAAAAGGCGGACGAGCCATCGGCTCGGTCCGAGAAACGTCCGTCGCTTGAGTCAACCCAGCCAACAGCGCAAGTTAATGGCAAGAGTCAGCCTAAGCCTTCTGCGCCGAGCGTAGCTCCGCAGCCCTCGCCGGCAGTGGATGAGAAGAAAACGGACAAGAAAGCAAAAGAGAAGGAAGAGGTTGAAACCCCTACCAAATCGTCAGGATGGAAATGGTTCAAGAGCGATGAGAAGGACAAGAAGAAGCGTGAGAAGGAAAAGGAGCGCGAGAGAGAGGAGCAAGCTCGGAAAGCGAAGGCCAAGGGCGGAGACAAGAGCCACGATGCGACCCGGTTGGACGTTCTACAAAGCTCCATTGAAGGCTCTTCCAAGGGCCGGGAGAGCTTGGTGCTGGATCGGGATAGTATCGACACTGGCAAGAACGAGGAGAAGAAGAAGGAGACCAAGAAGGAGAAGGAAGGCTTCTTTGGTGGCCTTTTCGGAGGCAAAAAGAAGGCTGATAAGGAGCCTCCCAAGAAGAAGGAGGAAAGACTACTTACTCCAGAACCTCCTCGCCGAAAACTCGTTCCCGATGTCGACTACTCTTGGACTCGCTTCCCGATTATTGAAGAGCGAGCCATTTACCGGATGGCTCACATCAAGCTTGCAAATCCCCGCCGACCCTTACACAGTCAAGTCCTGCTCAGCAACTTTATGTACTCTTATCTCGCAAAGGTCCAGGCCATGCATCCCCAGCTCAATGTGCCCACCTCACCGCAGCAAAGGCGATTAGAGGAAGAGCGCAAGCGCCGTGAAGCCGAACAGAAGGCGGCACAACAGCGAGCGATGGAGCAACTTGCCCTTGAACAACAACTGGCGTCGATGTCTGTTGAACAACAAATGGCGGCGATGTCTGGCCAGACCGATTTCAACTTTGAGTACCATCGCGTAAGTTAACATTTGCCTAAGCCGAAAGATGGTTTCGCTCAAGAATACTAACACCTCATTTAGTCTGATAATGGTTACGGCGAAGCATCGGGCGGCGGCGCTCAGTACGTCGATGACGCTCAGATCTATGAATACGAGCAACAACGGAACGAATCTCGCGCCCGCCATGAAAAACAACAACAAGCATATGCCAAAAGTGACGAGGAAAAGGACATGTGGTAGGGCGGCCTCCGCCCATCGTCCGGCTAGTCCAGCCTTTGCCTAGCTGGTCGAGGTGTTCTGTGGTACCAGTCCCAGGCCATCACCCTAACTGTACATCAGGCTTGACGAATGTCTTGCCTCAAGGAATAAGAGACGGGCTCGGGCTGCTTTATAGTGAGAGAGGAGGTAGTGGGACATCTGACAAGAACATATTGTACTTAGCTAATCTTCCTTTTTTTTCTAACTTTGTAAACAAGAGCAGCAGCAGCAGCAGGAGCAACAAGACGAAAAGCAGCCCAGCAGCGAGCATCGGGATTGGCGTTTCGGGATACAAATGTCATGGAATGGGGGAGGCGGCGAGGCGAGGAAAGATATAAAGATATTTACTGGGTGTTGCAAAAGAGACATATGGTTGAAAGTGGATGGATGGCTGGCAGGTAGGAAGGAACTGGGTTGGGAATTGATTGCAACTTTTTTTTCGTTTTTCAACATGTTGAGAGTCGGGATCTACCATTGAGTGAGAGCGAAAGAGAGAGAGACAGCTTATCATCTTATTTTGTATCACAACGCGAAATTGTCACGGCAGTCTGTTGATCCTCTTGGGACCAACTCTCTTCTTGACAGCGATCTTGGGCTGCCCGCTCCACCAGGTTTGGAAACAACGACAACTGTCTCTCTGCGCTTTTCCATCAAGTGAAGCTCTCATCATCGGCGCATATCCAACTCGTAAACATGATTCCAGAACCTGTTGTGTCCTTGACAAGAACTACGGCTGTAGCAGCCTTCTCCCTTGTTATCTTCCCCTCGTTGACTACTTGGAGTACCTTGTTGACCCCTTGCTGTTCGACTCAAGACGAGCTTCCCCTGCCTCCGTCCGTCTGCGATCAGCAAGCACGAGCGGTTCATCTTTCGAAGCTTCACCATAGCTCTTAGCCAAAACCATTGTGGGATTATTATCGCAGCCTCGCTGCTGGTCCTGTTGCTGATCGACCAATTGCTATCTTTTGCTGATTGTGATGATGTGTTAAACTGGAGTAGTCCACGCAACTGACAGTGTTGGCAGCGCCTGGCAGGGCGGTCTCGAGGGCGGTGTCTTGCGCTTCCACTTTGGCAGGCCCGTCTGGCTGGTGCCTGCCCCTGGCGGTCACCACTTGCACGGTCTCTATAGGCGCTCAATAGGGAAGGCGGGAGCTGTAGGTCGGGTACCAAGGTACCCACCCGCCCGTTCAGCTGGAGCCCAGGCGCCCAGGCAGAGAGATACAGCGAGAGCTCCCCTCCCGTCCCCTCCTGTCTGGCCTCAGTTTCCAATCACTGAACCATTCCAGATTTCGAGCACCTGCCCTACGCCGTGAACTCTCCCGGCCACTCTGAAAATCTTCCGACTTCGTCGACGAAACAACCGAAACAACGCCCAACCACCATCCAACGTATCCCCTCCCGCGACCGCGTCCTCGAGGCTCTCTCTGACCTCTGCTTCGTGTAATATTCTTTCTTACTTCGATCCAATCCTCGGGCCGCCGTCGTCCGTTTCTGCTTGATACCCCGCCTCCGGTCGCGACCAAACGCCCGTCTGTTGCTTCAGCTTTCGGCACCATCACCGCCCGGTTGCGCATTCGTCGACATTGACTTCCACTTTCCACCACATACTTGGCACCGTACCACGCCCGCCGTCAGCTACCTTTCACCCTTTCACGTGTAGCTTCCATTCGGCCTTCAGCTCTCCCGCTACCCCGATCTCCAACACCTCTCCTCCATCTGGTCGCCGAAGCCAGCAAATACCTAACCTCCCCCACATACATCTCAGTCTTCTCTATTGAAGCACTCTACCGGGATGGCATCTGTGAGATTCTCCTCCCTTCTTTTCTGCTTCTCCTCCTTGCTGCCCAGCTTCAACAAGTTCCCCAACTCCCATCCCACCTCTTCCCCACCATGCACTCAGATCACCGTCACGTCTCGTCGAGCATGTCTAGCTGCTCTCGCCTTGACCGCCCGGCTGTCTACGAAGCTCAAGCTGACGCACCATCGTGGTCTCTCGCTACCTTGACGCGTGTTTGCTAACTTGACCCGTCCCTCGATAGCAACCCCGTAATACATACAACGCCCCCGGGTTCCTGCCCAATGGTGCCGCTCCTCACCAGGGCCCGGTACCCGGCGCTACACCTCTCCTTCCGAACCAAGGCCGCGTTTTGCAAACTGGTCCCACCAGAGTTCTCTGCATTGCAGATGTTCGGGGTAAGCTTTTCCCCCAGTGTGATAGCCCAAGCTGTTTGCGCCTCGTTACTGATTTGCCCCTTCCTAACTGCAGGTAACCTTCGGTCTTTGAACGAGCTCGCCAAGTCCGCCCGCGCCGACTACATCATTCACACTGGTGACTTTGGTTTCTACGACGAGACATCTCTCGAGCGTATTGCGGAGAAGTGCGATAATACCCGGCCCAACTTTGGTCTTCGCTTGCTGACCAACGTTTGAACAGAACCCTGAAACATGTTGCCCAATATTCGCCCCTGATTTCCGAGACCACGAAGAAGGCCATTGCGCAAGCCGCTTCCGGTCCCGTCAAGAGCCGCTTCCCCGCTAGCGAGCTTCCTCTTTCCGAGCTGCCTCTCCTCATTTCAGGCGAACTGAAGCTGGATGTTCCCGTCTATACTGTCTGGGGTGCTTGTGAAGATGTCCGGGTGCTCGAGAAGTTCAGATCAGGAGAGTACAAGGTGCCTAACCTGTTTGTGATCGATGAGTCTCGGTCGAAGCTCCTCGAAATCGGCGGTGTCAAGCTGCGTCTTCTCGGTTTGGGCGGTGCTGTCGTTATGCACAAGCTTTTCGACAACGGTGAAGGACGGACTACGATCGCCGGTGGACAAGGTACAATGTGGACTACACTCCTCCAGATGGGCGAGCTTGTCGACACTGCCAACCGCGTCTACGACCCTACCGAGACCCGTATCTTCATCACCCACGCTTCTCCTGCTCGTGAGGGCATCCTCAACCAGCTTTCGGTAACTCTCAAGGCGGATTTCTCCATTTCGGCTGGTCTTCATTTCCGTTATGGAAGCTCCTACAACGAGTTCAGCGTCAACCCGACATTGGATCACTACCGTGGCAAGCTGGCCGCTTCCAAGGCGTCTTTCAACGATGTGTGGGAAACTGTCCGCAGTGAGGTCGAGCCCGCGATTCAGCAGAATGATGTCCAACAGACTTTGCTTAAGAACGCTCTTAGTGTTGTCGAGAAGATGCCTACGACTGCTGCTGGCGGCAACCCTTTCGGTGGCGCAGCTGCGGGTCAGTCGGCCGCCGCGCTCGGTCAAGTCGACGAGAGTGCCTTCAAGAACATGTGGAACTTTAACCTTGCTGATGCCGCGTTTGGCTGGCTGGTGCTGGAAATTCACGACGGAAGGATTGGAACTGAGATGAGAGCTCAGGGATTCAACTTCTCCCATCGCGGGGCTAAGCAGCCCGTTTATGCGGGCCAGGGTGCCGTCCCTCCCTCGGCCGGAGGAGCTAACCCCGTTCCTACTGGCCCCGCTGCCGCTTCTACACCCGTCCAACCCGCAGCGCAGCCCGCGCCTGCTGTACCTGCGGTCCCCGTTGTCCCCAAGCAGCCCCCCGCGCAAACCGCTAAGCCCGCTGCCCCGTCTCCGGCTCCGACACAACCCAAGGCGGCCACACCACAGCCTGCTTCTGCAGCCTCGTCCGCATCGAGAGAGTCTGAGAAGCCGGCATCCGCTCCCACGAACGGAGCTTCCAATAACCCGGAGCCTACCCCTTCCCCGGCGCCCAAGAGCGCTGCCGAGAGTATCATTGGCCTCTTTGTCATGCAACCACCGAGCGATGACGCCATCCCTGGCCTGTTCGCGGAGGAGGACAAGTCCAAGATCGTCAAGGTCGATAAGTGGGGCCAGAATAACAGAGTAGTCATCTTCAAGACGGTGGAGGATCGTGACGGTGCCTTGGATCGCTTGCCTCAGGAATACAAGTCTCGTGGCACTGGCTCGGACGACCGCTCGAAGCCGCTCATCAAGGTTTTCAACCCTCCTGCGTCGAGGCCGTTTAACACCCGTGGCGGCGCTGGTACATGGGCCAGCAGCAGAGGTGGTAGGGAAGGTACCCAGAGCGGATACCGCAGCGCTGGCGGCGGAACTGCTAGCGACAGTGAAGGCGCTGGTCGTCGCGGAGGTCGCGGAGGTTCCAGAGGCGGCCGTGGTGGTGAGCGCGGTGGACGTGGCTCGCGCCGTGGGGGGTTGAAGGGTGACGGAAGCCCGGCTACGACCTCCGCTACCCCGGCTGACTCTTAGGACGCGAAAGCTGTGGAGTCAAAAACCAAGGACCCGGAGAAAGGTTCTGAGAAAGGTTCGAACAAAGGTTAGTTCAGAACATCAAAACCTTGAAGAAAATCATCAGACAATCACGAATCGACAGCGTGAGATGCTGGTGTTTAAGTCGACCCTAATCAATGACGCCTTGGTGTTGTGGGATGGGAAAAGGTGCGCTAGCGGATAGATTTAACCCTGGCGAATGTCGTTGAAGGGAAATACATTGGCCGGGTTGGAAGAAATAGTGAAGGCATGGATTTGTTAGGTCATGTCAGTCAGGTTCAAGACAGGCTAGGTAGGCCAAGTCGGACCGAGCTGCGCTACTGAGCGGAAGGGGTGGTGAATAGGGGTGAGCGAGAAAGAAAACAGCGTAAAGTTAACTACTACGATTTCCAACAACCAAAACATTGTTCAGAGTTATTCATGTCTCTCGATGCGGATATTGTAGATGGTGTGGATGGTGTTTAAGGTCGAGGTCTCCAAAAGGACTTCAGCGGATTTGCTTACTTTGCTTTTTTTCTTCTTCCTTCTGTTCATCTCTTCACCTCGATTCTTTTTCCGTACGACAAACATAAAGGTTTGTCCGTATCGGTTATACAAACGGAAAGATGTCGAAGCATAGATGATGGACGTATTGAGTTTGTAGAGTAATGTACCTTAGTCTAGCGCGCCGAGAGCGTATGTAAAAGAGAAATTTGAAAGCCGCATCAAGTGTTCACCGAACCTCGAAGTGATGCTCGAGAGGTAGGCAAGAACTTTATCACCAGCTGAACGGCATCGTGCCATACTGTGTATGGATTTACACACTGCCTACCCTTACCTTCTGAGCCAGGACTACCAGAAACCGCTTCCTGGAGTGTCACACACCAACTACAACTCAAAATTTAACACAATTCATTACCTCCTTTTTTTTTTTCTCCGCCTTGTCTAGGTCTAGATATCTCGTAGGTCAACTCCACCCACCCATCCCTTTTCTGTTCGCCATCCATCTTCCGGCGCCCCTTAGTTGCTTTTGATAATTGTACAAAATATGGGTTGAGTGGTTGGACGGCCAGGAACCATCGTCTAATATGTACAGATAAAAGTACATGCTGTCCCCATTATCATATAGATAGAGTGACAGCTTTTTTCTTTTTCTTTTTCTTTCTCCCTCTCTAACCTAACCCTGTCGCTTCATCAGGTTTCAGTTACGGTCGGTATCAACCACCGGGTGGGTCTTCCGGTCTTCAAACCCATCCATGATGCCTCTCTTCAGAGGTCAAACAAACATCTTCCTCGCAGTCCATCCATCTCCCCGCCTCTCCCTCCCTATCTATCCACCACCCCTTTCCTCTCCAACTTTCAGTTCGCCCTCTAGTTCTACTTCCGCCTAGGCTTCATCCCCTTATGAATCGCCGCCACACCGCCCGTCAAATCCTCATACCCCTTGCCCCCCACCACAAACCCGGCATCGACAATCATATCCCTAAAGTCCTCCTGGCTCGGGAACTTCTCGATGCTTTCCACCAGATACTGATAACTATCCCTATCGCCCGCGACCAGCTGTCCAATCAGCGGGATCGCGCTAAAACTCCACTGCTTGTAGATGGTGTTGAACAAAGGGTGCGCATCCGCTTTGCTAAATTCTAGACAAGCGAACACGCCACCGGGTTTAAGCACGCGGTAGGCTTCGCGCAGGGCGGCGGGGATGTTGGAGAAGTTGCGGATGCCAAAGGCGACCGTGTAGAGGTCTACGCTCTCGTCCGGCACGCCGGTGGTCGGGGAGTAGCCGACTTGGTTGGCGCCCAGGGGCTTGGTTTGCGTCAGGTCTTCGGCGTTGGCTTCGAGGAAGGAGAGGGCGGCTTGTTGCGAGGCGGGAAGGGCGGCGGAGCGTTGTTTGCCGACGGATAACATGGCCGGATTGATGTCGGAGATGGTCACGCGCACGTCTGGGTTGCCGTTGAGGATGTGTGCCGTGTGAAGCATGCGGAAGGCGATGTCGCCGGTGCCGCCGGCTATGTCGAGGATGTGTTGCGGGGCGCGGGGGTCGGAGGAGGAAGTGAGGGGGGAGAAGCCGGGGTTGAGGGAGGCGACGAAGTGGTCCCTGGGAAGGAGGAGAGAGAGGGTTAGTTTATGTACTGTTTATTGGGGTTTGGGAAGTGGTCGAGTGTTGAGATGCGACACATGGTATGGAATGGGATAAAACAAGACTAAACGTACTTCCATACGCGATGCCAGCCAAAAGACATCAGATCGTTCATGCGATCATACGACTCAGCAACGCTGGTAAACACACCAGCTACGCGCTCCCTCTTCTCGGCTTCGGTGACGGTCTCGAAACCGAAGTGGGTAGGGCGCGCAGGATCGGGAATGGCATATTCGGGTACTGAGTTGTTGTTGTTGTTGGGCTTCTGTTGCGACTGGAGGGTTGTCGAGAAGGGCCGTGATATCCGGGATTCGGCGTGTAAGAGCTTCGAAGAGGTAGATCTGAGCGACGAGGGAATCGCCCTTCGGAGGGCCGGACGGGCAACCATTTTGGCTGATGGCGACGAGGCTGGACTGGAGAAATATCCGGGAGGGTGGGGGTAGACAGAGAGAGATCTGGAAGAATGGAGGGTTAGAACAGCCCCCGAAAATTGAGAAATGTCAAGAAAGTTGTCGCAGTTCGGCCCGGCGTCGCAATCGATCGATGAAAGCTCCCCCCAATGGAAATTCCCCAATCGGGAAGGCTGCGAAATCTGCATGTGGGTTAACACACAGCTTGGGTGGCTGGTGCGCAGGTCTTTGTGGCTTGTGCGTCGGCCATTGTCCAGCCTTGTTTGCGGGGTAGCTTCTGGAGACTGCGGGGGTTCTGGCGCATCTGGCCGGGGGTCCTTGTTTGATCTCCGTTTTTTTCTCCAGATGTTCGCAGGCGCTAGCGCAGGGTCGAATGGCCGGCGTCTTGAATTCTCGAACATTGATTGATCCCTGCAGTGATGAATCTCGAAAGTGAAAACATTCAGGTACTCACTTGGAATTATAGCCCCTCCGTGTGGAGGCGAAGCTCATGGTCTGTCGACGCTGATGAAGCAGTCTCGCATCTATCGTCAGACTTCTTGGATCCAGATCTTGCCTCAGATCCGGCAGATGATGGTTCAGACTTCGCAGCCTCGAGGTCGTCAGAGGGTGCTGATTTGGATTCCTTGACGGCGGCTTCGGCGTTCTTCGCGTCGGCCATCCACAGCGCGATGAAGTGGATGATCTTCTTGTGGAAGAAGGTGAAAACGGCGATGGCTGCGAGGAGACAGATGATGATGGCTACGATCGCGTCTCTGCCGGACATGGTGGATGGTGCGTCGGGGAATAGCTTGGTGATGTTGCTGTGCTGCTGCTAGTATTGTCTTGTTTGTGACGTGATATTGCGGGGCGTTGAGGAGAGGGCAAAATGAGGAATGGTAGGTGTTGCTACTACACGGAATTCAGAGGCGCGATTACAAGACGAGGGTTGACTTAATGAAATCTGTCGGGTGTTTGGCGTCGGGGTATGTGCGCTGCTGTGGTATGCGACGAGGGATGAAGAGATGTTCTGTTCAGCGGTCAATTCACTCGGGCCTTGAATTGAAACCTGAGGCTATGGTATTTCGCGTTGTCCGGACAGTAGAGTATGCGGCCCAGGTTGGGATGAAATCATCCGATGAAAAGATATAAATTGTTTATTCCGACGTCTACCCTACTTAGCCAGACTGTCCTTCCCGCCCTCAAAGTTCCCAAGATCATACTCCTCCGGGTACTGCTCCAGATGCTCCTTCAACTCCTTCATCTGCTGCTTAATATCCGGCGTCAACTCCTCATACACGTCCTCGAACATGGTCCTGATAGCAGGCTTCTTCTCCTTCTCCGCCTGGGAGAACGCCTTGAGGATGTCTGCTCTGATACTATCGCGTGTCTCCCTCTCCTTGTTCTCATCCCAGATCCCCTTGGCCTCCATCCACTTGCGCAGCCTTCCGATCGGGTTGTCCCTCCGCTTCCAATCCTCCACCTCGACCTTGGCACGGTACGCAAACGAGTCGTCCGACGTGCTGTGGTGGCTGACGCGGTAAGTCATGGCCTCGATCAGGACCGGCTTGCCGCCGTCTTGCAGGGCCAGCTCGCGCGCTTTCTTTGTCACCTCCCGTACGGCCCAGAAGTCGTTGCCGTCTACCCTGATGGTCTCGATTCCGTAGCCGAGGCCGCGGCTGGCGATACCGTCGCCCCGGTATTGCTCGAGGGTTGGGGTCGAGATGGCGTAACCGTTGTTACGACAGATGAAGACGGCTGGGCAGCCACGGGTGGCGGCAATGTTCAGCGCGGCGTGGAAGTCACCCTCGCTGGCGGCGCCTTCGCCGAAGTAGGCGGCTACTACCCTCGGGGGTACCGTGGGATTTTGCATTCTCTGAATCTTGAGGGCATACGCAGCTCCGGCAGCCTGGGGGAGCTGGGTGGCTAATGGGGACGAAATTGTATGCTAACAGACAAACAACAGCGTTAGCCATCATCTTATTCAGTGGGGGGAGATTAGCATCATCCGAAAAAAACGTACAATATTCAACTCCTTGCTCCCGTAATGCACCGGCATGTTCCTCCCCTTGCCGGAGTCCTTGTGATTAGCAAACAGCTGGTTCATAAAGTCACTCAACTTAAAACCGCGCTGTTTGAACACGCCCTGCTCGCGGTACTGGCAGAACACCACGTCCTCCGGAGACAGCGCCGAGGCGCTACCCACGCAAACGGCCTCTTCGCCCGCTGATACCATGTAAAAGCTGAGGCGGCCTTGGCGTTGCGCATCGAACATGATCAGGTCCATGATGGAAACCGTCAGCATGTCGTGGTAGAGCTTGATGACTTCCTCGTCGCTCAAGTCGGGCTTGAACGAAGGGTCGACCACCTGGCCGTGTTGGTCGACGGCCCGGTAGGTCGGTAGAGCATCGTATTTTGAGGGCTCTTCAAAGGTCATGGAGTTGCTGAAAGCTGACTTGACGGCTCCCGGGAACATGACATGGCTGGAATCTGGTCTCTGGGAGAGCGAGCTGGCATAGCGACGGTTTGGAGCTGTTTGTGTTGTTGTCGTCGTCGTTGTCGAAGACTGAGTAGCGATTGGCACGAGTCGGGGCTGGTGGGTAGTCGGTGTAAGAGGCCGCAACAGCGATGCTGGCCGTTGACTGGAACGACAGATCCTCTTCATTGTGGATGTTGGGTTGTTGAAATCAAGACACAACCGATATAGGAAAGACGAAGAAAGGAACAGAGAAGAGAGAGACCGCAACGGAGAGATCGTGGGTAGTCAAGTCAATCAATCAATCGCAAAACAACGAGAAGAAAATTACAACATGACAAAGACGGCAATAACAGATATGGGGAACGGGATTGTGGAGGACATGATCATTCATCAACAAATGATGGTTTGTTGTTTCCCCCGGTCTGGACTTTTCAGAGGAGTTGTAGCGTGGATCGACGTCACTTGTGCCGACGGAAACCGGCCATTAACAGATAATGGAGGATGGCCGGACCATGCATGGAGAAAAACGCGGGGAACCAAAACCACTTTTCTGTTTGGGGATTGGCTTCTCTGGCGCCCTGGAATCTGGGATGTCACTTCAGATCTCGGCTTTTTAAAACCGAAAGGATCAGTCTTTGCCAAGTCCATGTTTAGGTAAGTCGTGTGGGTGTGTCCAACTCATGCCAGGACGAACCTTCACCGCGGTGAGGACCGGTGAGTGAACATGGGCTTCCCCCCCTGAACCAGAAATCGGTTTGTTTAGTATAGGCAGTCCATTGCCCCTGCGTGATCGACACAGGGCACTCACCCGTATATCCCCCAACTTGTGTAACGCAACACAATTGCGCGTAGAGATGGCCTTTCTCGAACCATCGCCAGCAACTTTACATGGTTAAATGGCCAGATAGCTGTGAAATGTGGCCCCTTGTGCCTGACCGGCGAGATTCCACCCATGATCATATCCGCATGATTTTCGACCACGAACCACAGAATCGGGTCCGTGGTGTTCCCGTCAGAGGCAGGTTTCCGGTCGTCAATGTCCCCGTTCGAATGTTTTCTGATGGGCTAAATGAGGGCTGCCGTCTTCGATTGAGGCCGGTTGGAGTAGCTCAGTTCGCGGACGACATCAAAATCGTCCCAGTTTGCTCTTAGGCGTACGTATAGCTGTTGAGATTGCTGTTTTTCCATGAATCTCCAAGAGAACACTGTAGATATGGTTCGATGTCAAAATGGCATCGAGATCTCGGGAGGACAGGGTGAAGAGAGGGTGAAGACAGGGTAAAGAAAGGGAGCAGGAGAGGATAAATAGGTGGCAGTCTCCTTCGCTGTCAAAGAGAGAAGCACAGTTCAAAACACCATTATCCTTCTTCAAAGATTCCCATCTTTCAACTAGACCCCTTTGCTTCCAGATTTCTCTTGTCCGTATCGTCATCGTTAATTCCACAATGAGCCAAAACATCTACGACTCTATCGACTTCTTCGAGTCATACAGCAAGTATCCGCGCATGGAGAATGGGCTCGCCGGCGCCTCGGAATGGCCGCTCCTTGAGACCATGCTCCCATCCAATCTTGTCTCCAAGACCGTACTCGACCTCGGGTGCGGCGACGGTTGGTTTTCCCGCTGGGCTCTCGACCAAGGGGCCAAAGCCGTATGCGCCATGGACGTGTCCAAGAATATGCTCAGCCGTGCCCGCGCGCTCAGTCCGCCAGACCGATACTCGGCCATAACCTTCCGCCAAGTCGACATTGAGATGTTGGAGGGCCAGGACGGGGGACTGGATCCGGAGGCATATGACGTTGCCTTTAGCGGTCTCGCCCTGCACTACCTCGTCAACCTCGAGGCGGCTCTCCGCCAGGTCTTTCGGTCTCTTCGACCGGGCGGCTTGTTTGTCTTTTCCGTCGAACACCCCATCTTTACGGCTCCTCAACGGCCGGGTTTCAAAAAGACTGGAGCTGCACAGGACTGGCCTTTGAGCAGCTACTTTGCTGAGGGAGAGCGGGAGGTTGACTGGTTGGGTGCGCCGGTTAGGAAGCAGCATCGCACCATTTCTAGGTCAGTGGTTTCGAGTCCCGAGCGAGGCATCTTTACCTCGTATGTGCTAACATGAGTGTCGGGCTCAAGCTATCTCAAGACACTCCGTACAGTAGGGTTCGAAGTTGTTGTTGTGGACGAATGGGGTGTTAGTGACGACGATAGCCGCAAACATCCTGACTGGCCAAATGATGGGGGAATTCCACGGTTTCTGCTCATCTCTGCGATGAAGAGGGTAGATGCGGCGGATAGTCTTTAGGAACGTCGATTTGTGTTCTTGTCTTGGTGACTGGACGGACGGGCTGTAGCAGGGGTATCGTGTTGCTTGAGGGCCTTGTAAAGTACGAGTGTCTTTTCTCTCTTTCGTGTAATGCGCACGAGAAGGTATTCGCAGACTGCCATTTGGTGGTATTCGTTCCATTAAAGACAGAAAAGAACTTCATGCCATGGGAATGTCCAGGTTCCCGACTACCTGCATGACCTGCTCAGGTGGTTGATATCCGGTGATTGCTTTAAGTTAACAGGCAAAAGATGGTATCTCCTGAACGTCACAAAGTTTCTTTGAAGAAAAGCTGCCCTGTTGTTCGTCATTAGAATTTGGGATGATTTGGGGAGAGAGCTCAGCATGTGGGGTGAAATAAAGAGACCTATCTGACCCTAGCATTGTAGTCTTTCTCTTAAAGACATAGAGATGCACCTTCTAAAATAACCCCACGCTTGAGCTTCAGCAGCGTACGCTTTGCATATACAGCATAGGCATGCACAGAACGATAAAAGATGGCACCATTCTTTGGGCGCAGTCCTCGCCCAAAAACTACGTAGACATATGAGGGCTGCAGAACGATGAGGTTATAATGTCCTCTGTTTTTATGAATTCGTGAGGAGAGCAGCTCATCCCACGTCTCTCACAACCGACTACTGTGTAGAGGTACCTATCTAGTCTACCTTAGCTTTCAAACGACATATCCACACTACGTACAACTAACCTCAAGGCAGGGCCGGGGTCTCCAAATGAAGGCAACTGGAACCGGTGGTGGGCGGCACCGATGGACGGCCAACAAGCGCCCAAGCCGCTCAAATGGAACAATCCAGGGCACCACCATCGCACCATGGGTGGGCAACGGCTACGGGGGGTCCAACGAACGGGAGAGAGTCGGGTCGGAAGGGAAACCTTTCCCACCACGCATGTCCATCTGTTGACCGTTTCTCTTGCCGAACAACTTCTCGTGAACGTTGTTGCCCATACACAAGCCCGTCATTGCTTGCTTCATGTAGGTTGTTTGATCACTCCCCGTGAACCACCGGGCATGATACATCTCAGTCCCGTTCCACTTTAAAGTCATATCCATCACTTAAGTGGAATGGCAGCCCCACAACTTCAACCAACAACAAGCAACAACGACCAAGTCTAATCATGCACATCACAGCCTGAGCCCGACAATACCGTATCGGCCTAACAACACGTTGAAACGAAAACACCGAGGTACTCTGCCCGTCAGCCTTTCTCGACGAGCCCGAGGCCCAGCTACCAACTCCGACCTCCTGCCGCTTTTCAAGTTGCCGTTCGAACGAAAACATCATCAAACCCTTCCGAAGCGCGACACAGACCGCAATCGGCCCTTGGCAGCGAATGGTCTCATTACGGCGTACTACACCACTACGACTACTGCTGCCACTCTTTGACGACCCAGGACCCATCACCACGACCGCCGCAGCGAGCACCACGACTTCTACTTGTTCCATCCCATAACAGCTATCCTTAGATTAGGATAGGATCCGATCTGTTACACGCGACCCAACCCGTCTTTTATCCCATCCCGGCCTCCGACCCGCCTGCCTCATGGCGTAATCCATGGCAGACCGAAGCCTTGCAAACCCGCGCTCCAGATCGGCTATCGACCACGATCACGCAGTGCGCCTGCCTTCTTCACCATTGCCTCCTGCATCACGCTCGCCTAACTCGACCATCTCCGACCCGTCCACGCCTTCCCCAAATCCCAAACGCATTCGAACCCTCGGTCCTAATACCCCGTCATCTGCTCTCGCCGCCTTTAGTGTGAGCTCTCCTGCAAGGTAAGTCAGTTGGAAAACACCACACCTGCACAACACAGAACACAACACCACGAATACAAACAACCCCCATCCAGACACACACATTCATCCACACACATTCCCGTGCAGAAGTCGCTGCTGCCCCTGCCCTTCCCGATTGCCTGCCCTCTGCACCGAGTACTCGGTCGGAAGGAAGAGGAGTGGGTATCGAATCTCAAACCCTTCCATCCTGAGTCGGGTTGTCGCCAAACAAACAACTGCATCTCCCCGTGCCTGCTCCAACTTTGGACAGCCTGCTCTGTCTTCGGTCAAACAACAAGGCTGCCCTCTTGCCTGCGTACTTGCCTGCCGTGTTGAGGCCCTCCTCTGCCTGCCCCTTCGGCACAGTCCGTGGACATACCTGCACTCCAGCTGGCTGGGACGACTTCAACAATCCACGAGCCGACCCTCATCAAAACAACCAGCTTTCGGTATCAGTCGGTTCTGCGGTCGCGTCCCGGTGAAAGAAGCACGCAAACGCAAGCATCATCCAGCAACTGCAGTACAGCACGCAGATCCTGTTCCTGCCAAGAAAAGGAGCGAGGCCAGTTCTTGAGGCTCAAATCGGTTCTTCTTGATCACATCAAAGCCATCCCACCAACGACCTTATTATCCAGTCTTGAGGTCCTTAATTCGGTTACGGCTGTCAAACCTCTTGTCAGCTACCTCCAGCCACCACTGGAAAAGACATCTGGGCACTGGCCATCAGGGACTCTTCTTCGCTGGAACCTGCACCGGCGAGGACCAAGTCAGACCTGAAAGGACGATCGACTGTCGAAACATCCCAAGTCACCCCGCCATTTTCGCGATACACTCCTTCCGACCTGACCACCGGAGCATGCATTTGGCTGGCCTTCAATATCTCGGTTGTCAGGCACCTTCACCTTCACCTTCACCCTTCCCCCACTCCATCACCATTTCCCTCTCGTACCCTGTCCCCAGCACATCATATTAATAAGCCTGTCTTTTTTTACTCTTTCCCCCAAACAAAACTCGATCCACCCCCAATACATCCCATGATACCGTTTGGCTCAATATTTACCCATGTCTACCAGACTTACGAGGTCCGCCGCCCGTCAAGCTGCGAGCCAGGCAGCTAATAACTCGACTTCGACTGCTGCTGCTGCCCAACCCGCCACTCTTGGAACGACTTCCCTCGCCGCGGAAGCTTCCTCTGCTCCACCTGCCGCCGCTCAGACCCTAGCTCGGCCCTCAAGTGCTAAGAAACGCAAGACCACCGCGGCTGCAGAGGCTAACAGCATTCCCGAGACCGCTGCGGAGCTCCCATCCTCGGCCAGACGCTCGAAGCGACAGCGAGTGACGCAACCCGCTTCTCAATCTTCATCGTCCATTACCCACCAAGCCCAGCCTGCCGCTGCATCCAGTTCCGCCGCATCCTCAACGACCAAGAAGACAGCTCCCACACGCCGTAGGAAAGGCAAGGCGCCAGCTACCTCTACAATGTCGAGCCCGGAGTATGTCCTTATCAGCTCTCCCTCTGAACCGGATAAAGACCATAATGCTAATTTAATTCGTCTGCGCTAGGAACCCGGCCGTTCCTCCTAACCCCCCGACAAACCCTTCTTCGGCATCAACTAGCCGGAGGTCGAGCCGTCACAAGAAGGATGCACAAGGTGAGCAAGGTGTGTTTGACATGTCCGATATTCCCCTTCCACCCATGCACACTCACTCAACCATCCCAGCATCAGCATCAACCTCGAACCGGAAATCAAAACGAAATGCCAAAACTTCATCTGCAGACCAAGATGTGGTCATGACTGGGACCGACGAGCACGAGAAGGACCCCACGCCACCTCCTCCGCCACCTCCTCCGCCACCTCCCCCTCCGAAGGAAAGCCCTCCCACCGATAGTGACGAGCACGACGAGGATGATGAAGATGACGATGACCATCGCTATGACGACGAGGATGACGATGAAGATGACGATCCCTTCACTGGTTTTGGTGGTCACGGGCGTCATCCCCACAGCCTTCAGGATACGCTAAGACATCTCAGTGGAATTATGTCTGGGGTCTCGGCTCAGGTGCGGAAAATCATGGCAGATCTGAAGCGGAAGGACGACCCGTCATTGCAACTTATGGCCCTGCATGAACTATCCACCCTTCTGCTCATGACCAACGAAGACCAACTTAGCGGGCATCTCCAACCCGACCAGATTGTGCCTGAACTGGTAGCGCTTATGGGGCCCAACGATATTACTGGAGAGGAGAACCCTGAAATCCAACTTGTCGCCTGTCGTTGCCTCGCAAACCTTATGGAGGCCCTGCCGGGAAGCACATCGGCCTTGGTCTATGGGGGCGCGGTCCATATTCTCTGCGAAAAACTGCTACAGATCTCCTTCATCGACCTAGCCGAGCAAGCACTTAGCACTTTGGAAAAGATCTCTGTGGAATATCCCACAAGTGTCATGCGCGAAGGCGGCTTGACTGCCTGCCTGACTTATTTAGACTTCTTCGCAACCAGCACGCAACGCTCCGCTGTTACCACGGCTGCGAATTGCTGCCGCAACATCCCGGAAGATTCCTTTCCCGAGATTTTAGGTGTCATGCCCATTCTGTTGAACGTGCTCGGGAGTAGCGATCAGCGCATCGTTGAGCAGGCCTCGTTGTGTGTCTCGCGCATTGCCGAGAGTTTCAAGTACCACCCGACAAAGTTGGAAGAGCTTATGAGTGTGGATTTGCTCAAGGCCATTCTCCGTCTGCTACTTCCAGGCTCCACCAACTTGATCAGCCCGCACATTCATACTCAGTTCTTACGGGTTCTTGCGCTCACGGCAATGGCGAGTCCCCGTCTGTCGGCCGAACTCTTCAAGCTCAATGTAGTGGAAACACTTTATCAGATCCTTACGGGCGTGTCCCCGCCGAGTGGGAACGACGACCTTGCTTCGAAGCTCGATAGTGTGCTTATAATGCAGGCTTTGATTCATAGACCCCGGGACCAGATCATCGAGACACTCAACGTCATTTGCGAACTGCTGCCTAGTGTGCCATTGCGCGATCCTTCGTCGATCAGTTACACCGTGGAATTGGGCACGTTTGCAGGTCCTGTGGGTGGATCCGTGGAGAGCACCAGGAGAAGGGCTGCAAATGAGAAACGCATCGAATACATGGAGGGCTGCAAGGAGGAGGTTCGGAGATTCGCCTTGATTCTATTCCCGACCCTCACGGATGCCTTTTCCAGCACCGTCAACCTGACTGTACGTCAGAAGGTCTTGGCCGCTCAGCTCAAAATGCTCTCCAACTTGGACCAGGACATCTTGTCTGAAGCACTCAGATCAGTCCCTTATGCTTCTTTTCTGGCCTCCATCTTGTCCCAGCAAGACCATCCTCTGCTGGTTGGGCTGGCATTACAGGCCACAGAGTTGCTCATGAGTCGCTTAGACACGGTCTATCGCTATCAGCTTTACCGTGAAGGTGTGATCGCCGAAATCACCAAGTTGGCGGCTGATGCACCTGAGCCAAAGAGAAAACCTTCTCTTACCAAGCAAGAGGTCAAGGAGGAAACGGATCGAGTTACTCTTGGGGAATTTCTTACCGGTGTTGCTGGTCGCCCCTCTGCACTTGACCAAGGCGTCGCCGACAAAGAACACCCGAAAACCTCGGAAGAGGATGAGGATGAGGAAGACGAGGACATTGAACATTCCCAGCATGAATCCGGGGATGAAGAAGGCGGAGAGCAGGCCGATGAAGATGAGCCAGAAGACACAGAGAACGATGAGAACGAGAACGACGATGAACATGAGAACGAGGTCAAGGACGACGATCAATCACCTGTTAGCTCCGAAGGAGAGACCATGTCACTTGACGGGCCCCCACGATACCTTACGGATTTCCCCACGAACACGTACAAGTCGAGCATTCGGCAGGTTGCTGCGAAGTTCTTGGAGATGTATGAGACCGAGAAGCAGGGCAAAGCCATGAAAAAGAAGGCCAGCAAGATTCTAGCCAGCCTATCGGATCTTGCAACCGAGATCGAAGAGTTCTATCTCCGCCGTAAACCGGGAGGCCCGGTCATGGAGCATGGAACAATTCTCTTTCAAAAGCTGGTCTCGTACTTCGATGTAGACGTCCTGGAGAGCGTTACCAGTGCGGAACTCCTTGGCTCTGGTGTTGTTCGTGTCTTGGAACAGGTTTTCAGCAACCCCGACGAGGAGATGGCGGCTGCAGCACAAAATGCGTTCTTGCAGGTGTTCATGGGATACAGTGTCAAGTCGAAGCCCAAGACAGCCACCGCAGACTCTCCCGCAACACCTTTCAGTGTTTTGATCCACAAGTTGCAAGATTTGCTGAGCAGGTCTGAGCATTTTGAGGTTATCACAGCTCACCACAACTCGTTCGACGGTAGCCGTAGCACGGCAGCGTCGATGTTAGCTAAGCAGATACGCCTCAAGCTTGTCGCTGATGAAGAGTCGGATATCCCCCGGTCCTATCGTAATATTATGGTGTCGATTCACGCTATCACGACATTCAAGTCACTGGACGATTATTTGCGACCTAGGATCAGCTTGTCGGATCGTCCCTATGGAGCCTCTAGGCGTGATGCTGTGACCAGAGCTTTGGCTGCCATGGGTGCCTCGGGTTTCATGGGAGCCGCGGCGGCGGCAGCCCGTCTCGCGGAGAGAGGACTGCCACCATCCAGCCGATCGACCCCTGCACCTCCGCCAGCGGCTGCTCCTGCTCAAGCATCTAGTTCGCGGCCGTCACGCAAGCACAAATCAAAGTCCCAACCCACGACCGAGACTCCGACGACGCCAGACCCCTCTACATCCAAGGAAAAGGGTGGATTGCGCCGCTCCGCTCGTAAGCAAGCTGCATCTGATAGCTCTCTCCCACGTCAACCTCCGGAGGAGGACGACCTCGAAAATGCGCTCGAATGTGCCGACGAAAGGCAGTTGTCTGATGAAGACGAGGCAGCCGATAGTAGCGATCTCAACGTGTTGCGTGATTTAGATGAAGGGATGGATGATGCACCCACCCCTGACCCGACGGCTGTGAACATGGAAGTGGCTGCCGGCGGTAGGATTACCGCGCGCAAGGAGGACGGGACCAGAGTGCCCACTCCGGGCCAAGGCAAGCCTGCTGCACCACCCACACAGAACCGAACAAGCGCCCTGACGGCGGGATTGCAAAACACCCCTACGCCCCAGCCCTCGTCGAGGCCCATGTCATACTCTGGAGCTCTTCAGGCCGTCCCTCAGGATTGGCACATAGAGTTCAGTGTTGACGGCAAGGTCATCCCTAACGAGACTACCATCTACCGGGCCGTTCATAGCTCCAGTCTCGCCGCCGACGAGCACGTTACCAGAAGTATATGGTCCGCCGTCCACCCGATCAAGTTCAGACGTGTACCTGGCCCGCCTCCTCCCGAACCCGTTGGCTTTAGTCCATCCTCTGACGTCGGGGTTGAGGCGGATGAGAACGGCACTCCAGGCTCCTTGGCAAAGCATCCCATCACCCTGTCAATTCTTCGTTTGCTAAAGCGACTCCATGACTTGAACGCCAATATCGACGAAGTTCTAGTCGAGAACAAAGAGACCCTGAAGCTGAACGTTGAGCCGTTGTCTCAGTTCGTCAACACTAAGCTGACTGCAAAGCTGAACCGCCAACTGGAGGAGCCTCTGATTGTTGCGAGCAACTGCTTGCCCAGCTGGAGCGAGGATCTAGCAAGGCTTTACCCCTTCCTCTTCCCCTTCGAAACTCGCCACCTCTTCCTCCAATCTACCTCATTTGGTTACGCCCGATCAATGGCACGCTGGAACGCGCAGTCTCAGGAGGAGCGCCGAAACGGGCGAGATGATCGGCCGTACTTGGGGCGGCTGCAGCGTCAGAAAGTCAGAATTTCTCGGTCTAAAATCCTTGAATCCGCGGTCAAGGTCATGGAGTTGTACGGCGCTTCTCAGAGCATCCTGGAGGTAGAATACTTTGAAGAAGTGGGAACCGGATTAGGACCCACTCTCGAGTTCTACTCGACCGTTTCCAAGGAATTCTCCAAGAGGAAGCTCAAGCTCTGGCGAGACAACGAGCTCAATGGGGATGATGAGTTTGTCTCTGGACCTACTGGACTGTTCCCCCGGCCGCTGAGCGACGAATTTGCTAGCTCGGAAGAAGGAGAAAAGATCTTGCAGCTCTACAAGGTGCTGGGCAAGTTTGTCGCCCGATCAATGATTGATTCCCGCATCATTGATATCAACTTCAATCCCCTGTTCTTCCGCGTGGGTGACTCGACGGCCACGCGGCCTACGCTTGCAACCATCAAATTGGTGGACCCGGTCGTTGCTAGGTCGTTGATGGCGATCAAGAAGTTTTCGTTGGCCAAGAAGGAGATTGACGAAGACCCCAACCGGAGTGCCGTTCAGAAGGTGACGGACACGGAAAACATCACTGTTGATAACTTCAAGATCGATGACCTTTACCTGGATTTTACACTTCCCGGCTACCCTGAAGTTGAACTCATCCCGAACGGATCCCAGACGCGGCTCACTATCGAGAATGTGGATCTTTACTTGGAGAAGGTGATTGATATGACGTTGGGTAGTGGCGTCCGTCGCCAGATCGAGGCTTTCCGCAGTGGATTTTCGCAGGTGTTCCCCTATTCAGCCTTGAGTTCTTTCACCCCAGATGAGCTGTGCACCCTTTTCGGACGGGTGGATGAAGACTGGTCATTGGAGAGTAAGTTAACTAGGCATCCGAAATTGCATATTGCAGCCATGCTAACCGTTGTTTTAGCCCTTAATGACTCGATCAAGGCGGATCACGGATACAACATGGATAGCAAGAGCGTTAGGAATCTCTTGCAGACCATGAGTGAGCTCACGCTGGCAGAGCGCCGTGATTTCCTCCAGTTCACAACCGGAAGCCCGAAGCTACCTATTGGAGGTAAGTCGAACACCTACCTTATAGTTTTAACAGAGTGATAGCTAACTCGGAGATTACAGGCTTCAAGAGCTTGAACCCCATGTTCACGGTTGTGTGCAAGCCCAGTGAGGCACCTTATACTTCGGATGATTACCTACCAAGCGTGATGACGTGCGTCAACTACCTCAAGCTTCCCGACTACTCGGACATGCGCGTCTTGAAGAAGCAGCTCTTCACTGCCATGAAGGAAGGGCAAGGAGCGTTCCATCTGTCGTAAGGACAGCAACTCACGATAGATGGCAGATCTCTCGCACCCTCATCCCGACAAAGAAGGCGATTGAGAAATGGGTTGAGAGCAGGTGGAAAAGTCGACTTTAACTTGGTTGAGTAGTAGGCATTCCGTCCGCTGCTAGTTTCACCGAACATGTACTTTTAAAGATATACGGTTTGAGGAAGTGTTTCACTCTCCTACCACTCCCCTCTGCCGTACCGGCCTTTTTTTTCCGTCAAGTCAACGCGGGTAATGGAAAAAATAGCATGGACCGTGTGCGAATTACTGGTGGAAATGTCAGAGTTTATACCTAAACGCTTGGTGTTTTTGTGCTGTCAGTTCATTCATATTCTTTTGCATTTGAACGGTGTGCAGGAAACGGGAAGACCTTGATCAGCGGATGACTTGTTGTTTTGTCCCCTTATTCATCATGTCCAAGATAAACGGAATTCGTCTTGATTTTTCAACAAGTGGACTCGATGCAAGTGCCTTTTTTTTTTTTTTTTTTTTTTTTTTTTTAGAACAGGTGGTGAAAGGCAACAGAAGAAACATGCACCTCGGGGGCGATAGTCGACCAGGTGGTTTCCGAGCGTTACAGCAGACGGGGGCGAAAGTAGTCACGAATGTTGACAACAAAGCGCAACAAGAAACGAGAAAAAAAAAGGATGGGATGAGGAAAGATGAAAAGGAGGGTGGTGGCTGGCAGCAGGACAAAAAGGGGTGGTGGTGGTGATGGTGGTGATCAGGGAGAGGAGGACAAGACTTGGGCAGAGTAGGCTTAGACCATCAAGGTACTCAAGCTGGACGGGATGGAAGTGGCACATGGAAGTGGTTATTAGCATTGCTGGTTGTGACTGGAATTTATAGACTGATAGGACAATTAAAGAAGCAATATGAACGCGATATGTTAGAGAGGGATCTCCAAAGCTGATGATCTCAGCTGTGGGAGTGTTGGTGCACTAACACAAGGTTAAATGGGATGCAATAGAAAATACCCACTTTTTAACATGTGCGAACGCGTGCTGTACGCGCCTGCCGCGCCTGACCACCACCACCATGCCGCGTCGTGTACCTTGGCTCCTTGGACACGCATACCTCTACATCCAGACTACCACCACTCATTGTTCTAGGCCGAGGAAGATCCGAAATCCTTTTCAAAACCTCAGATCGTCTTGGATTTTGCTTGGCAACAGAAAGCGACCTCGAACAACGTATTCCACATAACATTTAGTTGGCAGCCACTATAACTGCCATCCCCCGCCGCGGACAACCTGTCGCCGGACAGGGCACTGCCCCCAAACACTACCTAGACCAGTCAAAGAATCTGGCTCTACAATACTACGACAAACATTCCCGCGGACGACACATACTGATTATTCAACTGACATCAAACGGTCCCTCCGGACAAGGAGGTGACCAACCGCCATGGCGCCCCAAACGAGAGCTCGAGATCGCCTTCGCCAGACGACATCACGCGAATACCACTCCTCACCCATTCCGCAACAAGTCCACTTTCCGGCCCGAAACCGAGTTGTCAAGACATATGGCAAGAGGACGCCTTCACGAACCGCTTTGCGACAGCAAACACTGACACAAATCGGTTTCCCTCTGAGCATGCAACCAGAAACCGATGGGTCCGAACTGTTGGAAACGCTCGAAACACCTGTTCCGACCAAGAAGAAAGGACGAGATTCCAAGCGAAGGAAGACAATGGGCGACACTCCCAATCCGAGCTCGTCTTTTCACACGCAGACACTTACGCAGTTTCTGTCTGGGAAGGAAGAGGACGAGGACGATAAGGAGGACTTGTTGATTGAGGACTCACAAGAGGAGGAAGATGATGAAGACGAACAAATCAATATGGACGACATTTATGATCTGCCCAAAGAGGAATCGCCGGAACGCCCATCAGAAAAGAAGCCAGTGGCCAAGAAACCAAAGAGTGTCAAGGAGAAGGCCAAGGCCAAAGGGAAAGCGAAAGCCAAGGAAGCATCGGTAGTACCGCAGACACCCAGTACCAAGAGGATCAAGGTCAACATAGATGAGGTCCCTTCTTCGCAACCAACACCGTTTACACCCATGCTGGAATTGAGATACAGTCCTATTGGAGACTACAGGTCACCTCTGAAGAACAAGTCGACCAATACAACAGCTGAGACCATCTCCAAGCTGCCCAGAGATATGGTAATCCAGGACTCCTATAGTATAGGAGGCAGTAGTCCCTTCTCCATACATCAATCGCCCTCTCCGCTCAAGAAGACTCCCATGTCGATTAGGAGTAAGCCCAAGCGTCAGCCACTAGCCGAACTACCTGTTCCTGAAGAGGAAGACGACCCCGAGTCGGGTTTGTCAGAAGGCGACGAGCAATCTACGCCAACAAAACCTAGAGCTGGGTCGTCGGCAGTAAAGGGAAGCAGCGGGAAGAAACGGGCATTTGTTGAGATTCCAGATTCGGACGATGACCTCGAGAGTTTTGGGTCGTCACCTGCTATGAGCAGGATCATGAAGACGCCCACGCACCAGAGAGTTACAGCGCCCCCGCCGGACTCGGCCAAGGAAAATCGTACTCCTAAAGAACAACCACATACGGAAGAAAAGGAAGAGGAGAATGCAGATGAGGAGATGGAGGAACCGGGTACGCCAACCCCCACTGCTAGGCGCAGTGAGCGACCTCGGGAAGTCCCATCATCTAGTGCTGAAGACATGGACTACGAGAGCGACGAGAGTCCCCTGTCACTGGTGCCCAGTAGTCCACCTCAAGCAAGCCGCGAGCTGGGGAATTCTAGCCAGCATGCTGCTGTCAAGCAGCCTACTACCACAACACCCAGCGACCATCAGTCTCACATCATTCGCACCCCGACGGTGAAACGGAGGGTGCAGATTGAGCTGCCGTCCATGAGCGACGAAGGCAATGCCACCGACGAGGAGGTGCTTAAAGAGACACCCCATCGCAAACTGGCCGCCACTAAGAAGCCATCCCCGCCTTCCGCCCCTGGCAGACGAAAGGTACAAATCGAGCTACCACCCCAAAGCACCGGAGAAGCAGCAGAGAAAGACCAAGACCAACAGGCCGCCGAAGAAGAAGATGTCCTCAAAGAAACCCCCCACCGCACCACCTCCGCTCTTAAAACCACGCGCTTCTCCCACATTTCCCCTCGCCAAAAGTCATCGCCCCCCGCTCCGGTCGTCCGCTCCCAACGTTCCCAACGACACACCCAACAACGGCAGCAAACCCAACAGCGCTCCCAGCTCTACAGCCAAGGCCTCGAATCCCAACGAGTCCCCATGGAAATCATTCGCGCCATGGGCCCGCCCACCGACACTTCCGACATCGTCATCGCCGTGCCGGCTCACCACCTCGAGGAGATCGTAGCGGGCACGCGAGATCATGAGTTCCGCCCGCATGTACTACCTGCCGTCAGGGCGTGGTTCTACGCCATGGAGCCGGTGAACGAGGTTAGGTATATGGCTACCCTGGGCGAGGCAAGGAAGCCGGGTGAGATTGAGGGGGGGGGTGGAGTGGGGAATGAGGAGTTTAATAGGGGGGAGAGTTACAGTTTTATGCCTGTGAGTGGAAGTGGGAGTGGCCGTGTTGCTAGCAGTGGAGCTAGCAGTGGAAGTAATGGCGAGGCTGCGACGACCACCATGCCCAATACATTTGCGCACAAGCTATTGCAGGTGTATCAGTTGAATAATCCGGTCAAGAAGGATGAGTTGGAGGAGCATGGGTTTGGGAAAAGCTTGCCGACGAGGTTTCGGCTTTTGCCGCCCGCGGCGGTGGGGGATTTGTTGGCCAATTTGAGGTGTGCGCTTTTTGCGGAGGGTGATGAGCAGGACGAGGAAGGAGAAGAGGAGGATAGGCTCGAGGCTATTGAAGAAGGAGATGAGGAGGATGAGGAGATGGGTGAGGCGGTGGAGGAGGCTGGTGAGGAAGCAGAGAGTCAACCCGACCATGGAGTAACTGTCTCCCAGGAGCTGGAGCAACAGTTGAGAAGCGATATCATTCGCTCGACGCAGATGATACTCTCGGATGACGCGAGACTGCCCGGCGAAGGGGGAGCACTGCTACGTCACGATTCGACGATAGCTTCCAGTCCGCAAAGACCTCCTGCACGGGTGACTCCAAGCCAGAGTCGGACAACGAGGTCTATTCAACTTCGGATGTCGGTGACCAAGGTCACGAAGAAACAGGTACAGGTCACAAAGAAGTTTCAGTTTGCAGAACTAGAGATGGAGGAAGATAACGATGACGATGACCTCGACCTCGATCTCGACAAGGAAGGGAAAACCCCTCCTGCCCTTCCTGCTCGCTCATGGTCAGCAGGTGCTTTAACTTCGGCTTCGACTTCGGCTGCAAAACCCACTAGCACCAGCCGCAAAAGCAGCGGTAGTCGCAGCAGCCAAACGACCCAAAGCCAAACCGAGACGCGCCAGACCCGTCGCCAAAGCCAACGGCTTACGGGCAGTCAGCATCATCAAGAAACCGACGAAAGCCAAATCACCAAGACAACAACAACAAAAGCTCTACAAGAAAAGGCCTCCATGCCACCACCTCCCTCGCCTGCTAAACCACGTGGCGGCAGCAGTATCACCACCAGCGCCCTGGCTAAACTCAACAAAGCAACCGCCACCGCTACTGCCCGCGCCTCCGGTTTTGGTGCCGGTTTCGGTGCCGGGCATAATAACCCCAACTATAACACCGCCCGTCCTTCACAAGCGACGACAGCTAGCGGACCTTCTAGTCCTATAATTGCTCCCCGGCAGGAGGAAGAAGAACGGGAGGAGTCTTCGCTGCCGCAACTAAGCCGAGGTAGAGGCGTAGGCACGGGTAGGGGCACGGGTAGGGATAAGAGTGGAAGAAGTCAACCTCTTTCCGAATCCCTCACCGCCTCCGAATCCTCAGTCGTCAGACCGGCGGTACCCGATGATGTTGATGATTCCCATATTTTGTTGTCTTCTTCGTCGATACCGGAACCTTCTCTAGACGGTAGTATCACACCCACAGCTACAAATCGAGGGGGAAGAACTCCCGGCAGCGGCAGAGGAGGTTTGGGACGACTGCCATTGAGTTCCCAGGCGATCGGGTCGTTAGCCCCGGATAGTTTGTTGGTGGATGTGGAGGGGGCGAGGGCACCGCCTGAGTTGGTGGTTTGGGATAGTGAAGAGGGGGATGATGCCGATGATGAGACGGCTAGTGAGGATGATGGGGATTTGAACTGAACCAGGGCCTAGGGGCTTTATGGTGTTGGGTTGGTGTAGGGTATTTATGCACTTAATGAATGGGGTTGGAACTGGTTACGAACAGGTGGTCACCAATAGGTTACGGAACTCGGTGGAAACAGGTTTATGTTGGGATATTGTACGTGTTGGAAACAGGTTGGGAAAGGGTTGAAACAAAGGGTTAGCGAAGGGTTATAATGGGTGCCTTTTCCATTCCTTGGGTCTCTGGTTTGAGAAGCTGTATATGATGGCGTCTGGGAATGAGTGTTGCCTAGTACTACGGTATATACGCACTGAGTAGGTATTGTTGATATCATCCTGAAGGAGCAGCGGGATGCCTCCAGCTTTGTACACGATTTTTTTGTACTTTTTAAATGCTGTAATTGATCTATCAAACAGTCGCATTTATATGTGAAAGTTAACACCCCCAAAACCACCAACCATCCCGCCCAATTCCCAAGCAACGCCTAATAGCAAAACCCACAAAAGCATCACCACCAAGCATCCTTCCCATCGTTCTTTCCTTCCATCTTCATTCATTTACCCCCTCCCTCCATTTCACAACCCCGCCGCCAACCCAACCACCAAAACCCCCATTGCTCCCAATCCCACCACGCCCGTAACCCTCGCCCCAGCCGCCCCAGCAGCACTCGAACTACTACTCATCGCTTGCCCTCCCGCTCCCGACCCAGTAGTACTCGTCACCGTCGCCGTCGTCGTATCCACCGTAGTAGCAGGCCCATCACTAGGCACCGTGAACCAAGTCAATGTTTTTGGATCATCCCCCCCATTTGATTCGGTGGTGGTGACGAAGCCGTTGTTGGCGTCGGTGTTGGTTTGGATTGTAAAAACGTCTTGGGGTTGGCGGCGGTTGTTGTGGAAGTTGAGGTGGTTGTTGTTGTTCGGGAGGTTGGAGGCGAGGGTTGTGGTGGGTGCCGCTGCTGCTGCGGCGAGGAGGGCTGGGAGGAGAAGTTGTTGGGAGCGCATTGTTTGTGTTGGGTTGGTTGGAGGATTTGAAGCTTTGGGGTCTGGTCTTTGTGAGGTGTGTAGGTAGGTCTGTTTTAAAGATCTTTTTGTGGTTGGTTGGTTGTTTGTCGGTTATTGAAGTCGAAGAGGAGAGAAGGGGGGGGGGGGGGGTTTGAGACGTTGAGAGGTAGTTTTGTGAGGCGCCTCGTTTGGTTGGTGAACCTTCTTTACTGCCTGGACTGTCTGTGTCCTGAATGGTGCTTCGAGGCAGTGCAAATGGTAGTCGACGACAAGTCAACAGAGAAAATAACGAACAAGAAAGAGAAACAAAGTGCTTGTGTACTAAGTGAGGGGTGTGCCCATGGAATAAATATATAGTGTACATACACTTCCCATCCCCGATCGTCGTCGTCGGTCACCCCACAACCAATCCCTCTGGGATCTGTTTGTCACCAACAATGAAAGGATCTCAACCCCTGCTACCTACCTTGCCCTGCCGCTCTACCTACTGTGATACAGTTACCCAGCTACCTATTTAGGAATAGGTACTTGAAACATGCTGAGTTGTAAGGAAGTATGAGATCCCAAAGGCTTGGCGTCAGTGTAACGCAACGAAGCAATCAACGAAGATCGTGAGCGAGTGAAATGTTTGATAGGGTGACAAAAGCTGCTGTTTTGTGCGTTGGTTGTCATCGGATTGGGCTGGACAGCTAGCTGTTCAACGCTTTTTCCTGACCAGTGAATTATCTTAGCACAAGGCATTTTTGAAACACGTCCATATCGTACATTCTGAGCAGCCCCAGCCAGGCCTTGGATAGACGTTTCGTTTATATTTCATAGGGATGAATAACAACGGAAAAGCTCAACGTCAGGCCAGCATCATCGACTGCTGCGTAGTTCAGTTCGTCGGAAAAAGAAAATTCAACCTGAACAGCGAGACGTCGCAGGGGAAAACAAAACCAGAAGGGGGTGCTGGATATTCGCACGGGCAGCGACGCGAGCCACTCTGCAGGGGAAAAAGTGAAGTGAAACCGCCGACGAGCCCCTCACCTTCATTGTGAAAATGCGAACGGTACGGTAGTCCAAGGTGAGTTAGGTGCTTACAAAAGGTGTTGGAGAGGCCGACGGGTATTTGGAATTTGGAAAACGATCCTCGGATCCCCAGACGTAAGGAGCGGTTGACGAAAGAAGCGGCGCGGCGAATAATTCTGTAGTAATAAACTCACCCGGCAGGAACCCGGGACCGTACCTAGAAGTACCCAACCACATCCGTCTCACTACTTCTTCAACAACCACGAACATGTTAACTAGGTACATTACCTCTACTACTTCTGTTGTGGAGACTCCATATCAATAATTGTCTACCGCTTTTTCTTACTCGTAAGAGATTTACCAAACGTGGCATTTGGGTGAAAAAAGGTGCATATGCACGGGAAGTTAGTTGCATATGAGGAATATCGCCAATGGGATGCCCTCATGTTCCTAGCTAGCGCTCCCGGTAAATCTCTTACGAGTGAGAAAAAGCGGTATACAGTCAGGTTACCGCTAATACTCGTTCGTAAGAGATTTACCGGGAGCGCTAGCTAGGAAAATGAGGGCTTCCCATTGGAGATATTCCTCATATGCATTAAAGCCGCCTTGCATATGCAGCTTCTCTCACCAAAACTGCCAGGATTAGTAAATCTCTTACGATTGAGTACTTGCGGTAGAACATATTGAATCCACCTGATGGTCTCCTATCTTGCCCCCCAGTACCTTCCAAAGATATAAAGCTGGGCAACACGCCAGATAATAATAATATATATACTATGCATTCCAAAACCCCGAGACTATCCGCCGGGTAACTACGACAACATTCCCTCTCTCCTCCTTGACATCTCAACTAACCCACCCACTCACCTCCCCACATGACTAAAAGCACTCTTCACCTCCGCCCTCGGCCACTCCCACAACACCTCACCACCATACACCTCCGTCGTGATCTTGCCCACCCTCATCTCCACTTCTCCATAGAACCTCTCGCACTCCTTCAACACCCTCATCACCAGACTCCTGTTACCCCCGCCCACCACCCTAGATCCGCTGCTACCAGTGGTAATCGCGCTCGCGCCGTCCCCACCGGGGGCATCATCATCACCACCAAAGTGTTTCTCCACTCTCTTCCTCAGCGTCTCAATACCCTTGCGGACTTCCTTCCCATCATACCCGCTCAACACCTTATTAAAGGTGGACTTAGCATTACTCGCCTGCGCGGCCACGGCGCCGGGGTTCTTTCCAGCCGCCAGCTGGGCCTCGATGTTCTCGAGGTACTCGAGCAGCTTACCCAGCGGTCTGCGCATGACGGCGTTGAGGTAAAGGTTCAGGTGCTCTACGAGCTCCTGCTGGGCGGCCTCGCGCCAGTCGTCAAGCACCTCGAGGCCCCTGGGGTTGTCGACCTCCTCGATGAAGTGGTTCATGTTCTCAATCAGCAGGATGTGGAAGTTGAGGGCCTCCTTGTCCTCTTCCGTATCGGCACCCGAGGAGCCGCGCAAGCTGCTGCCGAGGTTGATGTTGACGCTGCTGATCATGGAGGCGGCGCCGCTGCTGCCGGGGAAGGACGGGAAACTGCTGGAGCCGCCGCCACCGGTGGTGGGGAGGGTGGACACGGCCGGGTTCTCGCGCGCAATGACCTTGAGCGAGTCGAACATGGTCTTGATGATGCGGTCGTACTCGCGGTCGATCATGCGGCGGACCGTGAGGTTGCTGGCGGAGACGGGGGATTCCATGGTGTTGCCGCCTGCAGCAGCGCTGGAGGAGAGCATGTTCTCAACGGCCGAAGAGAACTGGGGGAAGATGCGCATGAAGTGGATAACGCCCTTGCGCTTCTTGATCTTGACCTTGGTCTCCTCGATTGCGCGAACCTGCTCGTCAACAAACTTCTTGAACTTGGTCTCGAGGTTGCCATGGAGCTTCTGTAGAACGGTGTTGAGATAGTCTTGGTTGCTTTGGCTGATGTCTGCCATCTTGCGCTCCAGCGTAGCCAAAACACCCACACCTTGTCTGTGAAATAGTCAGTAAGAAACATCAAACAAAAGACGTAGACAAACTTACAAAGGATCCATCATCAACACCCAGTCCATCAGGTTCTGCAAGTTCTTATCAAAGAACATAAAAATGACCTCCATCGCACGGGTAATCCTGCGTGCCAGATCACGATCCGGTTCCATCATGCGATGGCGCTTGAGATCGTTTCCGCGTCGATCCTGTGGCCGGGATGCAACCACAAGATCAGGGAAATCGACCTGCTCCAGAGTCGAGGCATGGAAGAAATCGACGACAAAGTTCTGCTCCATCTCGACCAGGGGGAGAAGATCGTCCAGAACGCCAGCAAACACTTCGTAAGGGAGAGCTCTGCTATCTGGAGTCTTCTCCACAGCAGCGGCGGCCCTTCCTTCACCGACCTGCGAACGGAGGGTTCTCGCCAGTGTCTGACTTCGCTTGACGGTAAGCTTTCTTGCCGCAAGGGCAATGCCTTCTTCCTTCTTCTCTTGTCCCGAAGTGAATAGCAGTTCGGCCGTCTCTTCGCCAGTCATCTTCCTCGCGTTCTTCTTCCACGACTCCATCGCCTCCCTGAACTCAGCCTTATAAATCGGGTGGCTGATATCTTGATATATCTGCATAATGCGGTCCCAGTTGGCAACATCGACTTCCTTGGCGTAGAGAATAAGCGGGCTGTACATCCAGAGGATATCCCTGCCAGCTTCATGGTTGCGAGGGTCGACTTTCTTCGAGAGCGCGTTATCCAACGCCATCTTGGTAGCCCGGAAGGCATCCTCGAATCGTCGTGCCATGAACTCCATCAGTCTGCGCATGAACATGGTGCTCTCTGCCATGTACATCTCCCTCTTCTCCTGAACGATGCGCATGTTTCCATAGTCGCTGTTGAGGCCGATGGCTTGGCCACCGCTTCCATCCTCACTCCTGCGTCCTTCGATAGCACCCATTGCGGGATCGATCTTCATCATGGCCTTGAACAAGGTGACAAGGGCCAATTCAATCTCCTCCACGCCGGTTGCAGTCTCAAGTGGCGCAACCTTCAGAGCGGCGAGATCCGACTCGCTGATGGCGCATGTAGCCAACAACGACTCCAATTCCTTCTTGAGTAGCTTCTGGTTTGCAGCCTGGACCTGGAGACCTTGGCCTTGAGCTTCGATATAGGCAATATCGTCCGAGAGCGTCTGCAACATGTTAGCAACCAAACCACACTGAGATGAGCGTAGCAACTTACAGATAACTCAACACTGTACAATGTAAGCAAGTTATCAAGCTCGTCACACTCCGCAATCGCCACATCAATGCCATTCTTGATAGCATCCACCCTCTCATCCTCCTCCTGGAAGCGTGCCAGCCAGCCGCCCGCCTGGGCCTTGCTAAGCTCGCGGTCGACATCGATCCTCATCTCGTCAAAGTTGCGAGACCGCATCTGCTTACCGGGCACCCAGCCAAAGTAGTCCAGCCATTTGGCAAACTCGGTCGTTTTGGTATCGAGGATAGAGGGGTCAATGCCGAGCGTGGTAAGGTACTTAATATCGTTGCCAGCAACAATCGCCCGCTGGGGTTCCTCTGGCTCAAGCGGTTCGTCCTTCTTCTTGTCCTTGGGCGCATCCTCCGCCTTGCCCTTGGGATCCGTCACCTTCACCCCGGGAACTCCAGCCTTCCCATCAGCTGGCTTTGCCTGACCATCAGGGGCCGGATGATCCTGCTTCTGCGAGGAAGTTGGCCTGGGTGGTGCCGGGACGACACTGGTGATGCCGTCTGGCCCTTCGGGATTCTTGGTCAGATTCCTTAGACGATCAGCTGCACCGCCCGGCCTCGGCTTAAAGGCAGACGCTGCCGTTGCCGCCTTCCAGATAGCGCCCGCAATCTGTACCTTGGACTTTTTGGATTTGATCATGGGTCCGAGACCTGGTCGACTCTGTTCTGGGGATTCGGCTGCGCCCTCAGAGACGGGTGACTTGATTGAAGCAGGCGTGCTCGCGGTCGGACTAGGAGCCACGCTCACGGGGAGCTCAATCTTCCTGGGTTCAATAGGTGTAACTACTTGGTCGGCCACAGGTGGGGCAGGGGATGGTGCCCGCTGCGGCTCGTTTTGGGTGAGTACCGAGTTCTTGCGAGGAATCATACGGTCCACGCTTCGCGGAGGAGGCAGGACCGGGTCTCCCCGTCCTCGTAGACTAGGACTCATCAACGGTGGTGGGACCCCCGGTCCTCGTAGACCAGGACTCATCAATGGTGCCGGAACGTCTCCCCGTCCCCGCAGGCCAGGGCTCAACAATGGTGCCGGGACCAAACCGTTATCTGGCTGCAATGGGCGCAGAGGGTCCATGGGTGGTCGCTTCCTTTCTGGAGCCTCAGCTGGCGCAGAAGGTGTCGGGGCCCTGGCAGGTTCAGGGGTAGTAAACTTGGAGTCTCCATTCGTACCAGCTCTAGACCCTGGACGCAGACTAGAACTATCCTCGGTCCTTGCCGCCAACGAAGGTGCCCTCGAATCCTGGCTCTGGTTGGAGTTCATCCTTCTCAGCGGCAGGTCCTCTTGCGACCTCACATTGCTTGACTGCATACTCCTGGATGGCGACGGTCCCCTTTCTCTGCTGTTAGGAACCAAGTTGGTGCGAGAAGGCATCCTGTCGAGAACCGGGCGGCTAGGAGGAGGTCCAGGGGGAGGCGCAGAGGGCGGTGGCCCGGCGGGCGGAGGTGGTTGAGCTGGGAACGAGCCATATCCGGATGTCATGGAGACATTGCCGCTACTAGGAGCAGTGTCCAAGGTGGCGGATCTCGAGGGAGGGTGGTCCAAGGGTCCAGATCGCGATGGTGGGTTATCGAATGTGGCCGATCTCGAAGGAGGAGGAATAGCCCCTTGCTGGTCGATCTGAGTGCCGGATCTCGAAGGCGGGCCCCTATCTGCTGGTCGCCTCGGCGCCTGCGCACCACCCAACACTTGATCGAGTTCACGCTGGTCGAAGCCTATCAGCCTGGGCACGCGGCCGCCGGTGTACTTGCCGTAGATCTTGATCAGACTGGCAATGAAGAACTTCTTCTCCTTGTCGGTCTGGGCCTGCCAGTAGTAGGGCTTCCCCAGGGTGACGATGAAGCCCACATCGCCGGCCCACTCGCGGAAGTTGGGGCTGGCGGTCGGGCTGGTGAAGGACTCGATGTCGGATAGGTCGTCGAGGAACCATGTCTTGCCGATGGAAAAGGTGCCATTGGGGTTCTCCTTGGACTTGTGCAGGCGCACGCGGCCGGACTTGCGCACAGCGACGATGATGATGCGAGGCTTTTCGGTATTAGGGGTTCGTGCCTGGGGCGGCGGGGGCGAGGTCGGGTGTGTCGAGAACTCGGTGATGCGGATGTGGGTGATGTATGTTTCAATAGCTAGTTCATCATTGTCAATGCCTGTTGTCGTCTTGTTATTATTATTGCTTTGTCTTGTGGCGTGCCTACTGGAGCCGTCGTCATCTTTCTTGTTGAAACAACTCTCAATGATCCTCCGCTTCTCGTCCTCGAATCGCTCGGCCCTGCTCATTGTGTGGAATCTGCTGTATACTATTCAGTAGTCGTAAAGTCGGGAGGGGCGCGGGTTGCAAAATGATCGGACTCGGTCGGTAGGTCGGTCGGGAATGGTGCTACGTATCGCAAAGTCGAAGGCGTCGTGACATCTTTTAGGGGAACAGCACTTGAGGGAGAGAGCAGTAGCAGTTGCCTGTTTCTATCGTGAATCGGGAATTGCTCTCCCGCCTGGCGCGTCAATCGAGTCGGGTTCGGGACCGAGGTCAAGGTTCGTATTATTAGGTATAAGTAAAGAGGTAGAAAAAGTAGAGCAATTCTCAAGCAACAAAAGACGAACTGAGGTCGGTGGTCGGCAACATCAAGTTGTCGATGCCGTTGTCAAGCGGATGTCTGCAAGTGGAACGGAGCCACAAGTCCAGGAGCTTCCAGTTCAGTGACCGACCCGTGCTAGACGCTAGTTGGTGCGCCCGGCCGTGGTGGGGCCCCGCAGTGCCCAGACATTTTCATGCCAAGCTGTTAGTGAAATCTTATTTGAGTCACCAAAGCACTAACATCCATTAAGTATCCATGCCTTTTGACTCTAACCTGCCAAACAACACCACGAACTGAAACCTCCGGCTGCCAATGTGAACCTATGGAAGGAGCTACAACATATAGTGAGAGATCAGGCGAGGAGTTATACACGGTGTGCAACCACATCCCTCGGAAAAGCGTGTTTCACGTTGACTGCGGTCCATACTCCAAGACCAGTATGGGCATCAACTCGAGTATGCTGTCAATATATTCAGATTTGTTCTTACACTGTACTCGCGTCGTCGTTGAATATGATATGTAAGTCATGGTTACAATCCTCGTAATTCTAGCGGGGTATATCGCTTTAACTGTAGCAACAAAAACAGACCAACCCTTAATCAAAGGTGATCTTCTTGCCCTGGAACGGCGCCGACATCATTTCCTTCTCCTTCGCCTTCTTCTTCGCCTCCCACGAAGGATGCAGCGGCCCGCTATCATCACGCTTCGTGGGTGCCCTAGCCGGAGGAGCAGGAGCAGCCCCAGCGTCGCCTCTTCCTGATCCAAAGCTACCACCACGACCAGCACCACCCCTACCACCTCTGCCTCCGCCGCCACGACCCCTATCACCACCTCTCGCCGCAGCAGCACCTGCACCTCCTGTCTGAGCATCACCACCCTTATCCTCACCTCCCTCTTCGCCACCCTCCTTGCCCTTATTCTTAATGTCAAGAAGACTACCCTTCTTCCACGGCTTGCCATCCGAAGACTCCACCGCACCCCTCTTCATATCCCAACCGGCGTCTCTGGCGTTCTGCTGCTTCTTCAGGTGCTTGGCCTCCTCCTTGAACTTCTTCTCCCAGATGGCCTGGCGGGCGCGCTGGCCGCGGCGGTTCTTGCGGGCCGGGGCGACGTCGACGTCCGAGGCGGACTCGGAGCCGGAGATGTAGCCGCCCATCAAAGTGGGGAGGAAGGTGGAGTCCATGGTGAAGTTTTGGAGTTTTTGGGTGTTGGCGGTTGATGACGAGGATTTGCTCTTCTTCTTTGAGGGGGCGGCATCGATGCCGCTGTTGTCGGAGTCGGAGTCGTCTTCTTCTTCGTCTTGGTTTTCGTCTTCGGACTGTTCTTCTTGGAGTTTGGTATTTGATCCTTCATCCTCCGAGTCACTGAACCCTTCGAATTCGTCATCGGAACCGTCGCCGTTTTGTTCGGAGTCGCCGTCTTCGGCTTCGTCGTCCGTGATTTCCATAGGGTCTAGGTCGTCTCCATACCCTCCCTCTTCGTCATCTGTAATCTCCATGGGATCGAGCTCCTTTGCGATAGGACGCTTCTTGACCGCGGCCTTGGAAGCAAACCTCGCCTCCTCATCGTCTGCGTCCGATTCGGAGGACGAACCACCGAGCAAGTCGTCGTATTTGGAGAGCACCTTCTCTTCCTCCTCCTCGTTGACCGGTTCTTCATCGTGGTCCGAGTTTTGTTCTGCCACAGCTTCCTTCTTTGCCGGCTTCTCTTTGGTCTTTGTCTTCTCCGTTGGCTTGTCGTCCTTCTTGCCCTTTTCCTTGGCCTTCTTGTCTACCTTGGTGTCCTTCTTTTCCTCCTCCTTCTTATCCTTAGTCGTCTTGTTGTCCCGGTTTTCCTTGGCCTCCTCGGTCTTCAACCCTTCCTTCTCCTTGGGCTGGTTCTTGCCCTTCTTGCCCTTCTTCTCAGGCGGCTCGATGCCCATGGCCTTGCATATCCCCACAATCGCCTTGTCTGTGACGGTGCGGACCTCTTGGCGGGCGCAGAGAGCGCTGGTAACGTTGTGTAGAGCGGTTCGTTCTTCTTCGGTGAGCATTGGCTTGGAGACGCCGCGCTTCACGGCCTCGGGTAGGTTGGGGCATTCGGCAATGCGCTTGATGCGGAGGAGGGAGAAGCAGAGGTGCGCATGGGCGGCTTGGTACAGGTCGAGGGACTTGAGGACGACAATCTCATTTTCTATCCTGGCCTTCTTGTCCTGTGGTGTGCTTCGATCATGGAGTCGCTTGGACTGGCGCTGTCTCTCGAAGCCTTTGGCGGTTTTGAGGGCATGGTGCAGCTCGCCCCAGTATTTGGTGAAGACCTTTTCGACGTCTTCCTCTTCGGTTCTCTTTCTCTTGCCGAGGGACTGCATTTTCGTGGTTAAGACGGTTCGGTGTTGAGGTTCGGAACGTCCCGTCGCAAGTCGAGCTCAGTTGACAGTCAAAATGTCAATTGGAATTTGGGGAAGCTTTGCGTCTGCAGAGTGCAGCCATCAGTTGTTGCACTTTTCAGTGGGGCCCTTGTTGATCTGGATGCCAGCCGGGAGCAGCTCAGGCCCACCATGGAAGGAGCATGGGCCGCCTAGCGAGCCGGACGCGCAAATCAATTAAAAGGTGGAGGAGCCGATGGAACGCGTTCCCCAAAATCGCACCCACCGTGACAGCGCCTGGACAGCCCACCCATCCACTGACCGGGGCCAGTCCCATCCACACCGACGACCCAAGCCAGAAACAACATCACCATGCATCGACGACGACAAGGTCTTTCTCCTAGCTGCACATCTCCAATCTATTGCGCTTTTTGTCGCCAATAGTCAACGAACTCTCGCGACCGCTTATTGTCGGTTTCCAGTCGCATAATCCAATTGCTCAATACGCGCGCGCGTCTCGCATTCCGTCTTGCGCTCCAGCGAACAGTCCGTCGCTGTTGTGAACAGGAATCGATCACCACCATCCGCGAACTATCGAGCCGAACACCCAAGTTCACAACCACATAATACAACTCGCCATGGCATCTTCGCAGCGCACGATACAATACACCATTCCGGGGAGGGAAGACTTTAACAAACTTTCCGACGAGCAGAAAACACGGGTTGGCGAAGCTGTACGTTTTGCACCTCTCGTCTTCTCCCACTTTCCTTTGTTTACTTTCACCCCTGCAATTTTTGCGATTCACATATTCATGTTGCTGCGCAACCACTTCCTTCCCTTCTGCGTCCGACCCACACCACCAAATACCAACCAGCTAACACCACTCTCCCACCATCCAGTTCGACCTCTTCGACTCCAACAAAGACGGCCTCCTCTCCTACGAAGAATTCCGCTTCGTCCTCCGCGCCCTCGGCTTCGAGCTGCCCAAGCCGCAGACCTACGACCTGCTGATCCGCCACGGCCAAAAGCCCGCCAACTGGCCGCTCGACCAGGAGTGCCCCCCCGTCTACCGGCTCTTCAACCTCCCCACGGTGCAGGCGATCGCGGGGACGCTGATCCGGCAGCGCGACCCCAAGGAGGAGCTCCGTCGCGCGTTCAGACTGTTCGATATCGATGGCAAGGGCATGATCACGCAGGACGACCTGAGGAGGGTCAGCAAGCAGGTGGGGAATAACATACCGGATGCGGATATTACGGCCATGATTGAGGAGTTTGATGCGAGTGGGAAGGGGGGAGTAGATGAGGATGAGTTTTTGAGGTTGATGATGAGTAAGAAATAAAGCGGGCGAAGGAGAAGGATAAAATTGGAGAAAGAGGTGGTGCTTTTTTGAGAGACAAAAGTCATGTGGAATGGTTAGATGATACCCGAGTGGAGGCATGATGGACAATGAATATTTTTGTTTGGTTTTTTGGAACCGGTCTTTTCACGCGGTGATCAGTAGTTGAAGGGCAGGGGAACGGGGATGGAACTGATGATAGGGCCGCAGGTATATCGGCCGCTCAATGTCTTGTTCGGTTCCAGAAGGTAAGTCTCCTCCTCTCACTTCTTTCTTCTATGCCTTATGGCTTCCTGTTGCCAGCCACACCCGAGCAGCATTCGACACGGCGCGATCAACCGATCGGTGGTATTTTCGTTGAGCTGAAGGCTCTGATCTCCAACTGTCCTTTCGGTTGACTCCCGAATTGGGTTCCTTCGTTGCGCCAGAGCAGGAGTCGAAGCGCCACAGTACTGCATGAAGTTATTAGCCCAGGTCCTAACGGCCCCCAATTGACGTTCAAAAACTGTACAACTGAAGGTGGTCTCTGAGCCGCGTCGCAATAAGCGGGATCACCCAGGTGCATCCGTTTTGAGGTTACACGATAAAGGGGTATCAACAATTTTGCAGTTGAAAGGGGCTTCGCAGCCAGAGAAAGACCAGGTCACCGACCCGGACGTTTGAATACCGGGAATATTAGCACTCCAAGTTGGTTCACTAACATGACGACGGCATGAGCCTCCAGACTCGAACAATATATTCATAGAATAACAAACGGCGTGAGTTGGAAGTCTTAAACCTTCAGGTATTCCCAACTTTCCGGGTCTCTGCGGCATCTAGGCGAAAATGAGATGTGCTAACCTCGAGCTTTGAGCTGGCCATTCGTCGTGGTTGTTCTAGTAATACCTTTTTAGGCCTTACGATCAGTTCGACTCTTGGCAAAGGAAAGGATAAGATGATATGTTTTATGTTTTTGGAAGGCAGACCCTGTTGTTAAAACTCGACGCCCGTTTGAAGAAGGCCAGACGGGTCTCGGATATGCACTTGCAGCTGCGTTAGTGCCAGATGCGCGACAACGCTGGAAGACGCCAAAGTACCATACGATGCTGAGGTATTCGCCAAACAGTGACTAACATGTAGCTTTTTGTGGGTCTGGATGGGCCTCGCGCATCTGTAGGCTGCGACCTTCACATCGGAATCGCTCCTTCCTTTCCCCAAAACTACCCTCAGGTTCTAAACATTTCTAAAGACTGTAACGGCCCGGCAAACAGACTGGCAAGTGGAAACAGCCCACAAGACACTTCACCTGGCAGGGAAGACAGGAGCAAGTTGTACCAAAACCCCCAACAAACTAAGAGCTGTCTTGTGCCAACCGTCTTTCCATCTTCTCCCCGTCATCTCACGATCTCCTCCTCTTCTGGTCGTTAACCGCCAACGCCACGACTAGACGGGCAAAATGCTACCCCTTCCACTGAAAAGCGAGTACCTTGGGTACAAGAAGGACACGGACGCAGTAGCAGCATGGCTTGCGTCTACAGCAAAGAAATGCGGCTTCCCTGCCGACCAGCTTAAGTAGGGCTCCTGGGACACCTCGGACGCCTCATCACTCTCCACGAAGTCTTCCAGCGGCGGTCGGAAGAAGGGCAAGGCGCGCAAAGCAGCCAGCGCAGCTGTTCAAGCCACGAAAAAGGCCATCCAAGGTGTCTCCAAGTACATTGTTGCCATAGCGGACTATCCCAAGTTGGCAAAGCACATTGCCGACACCGCGGACCCCACCATTACAGTTCCCGATAACTTTGCGGCCACCATCGACCGTGTAATCTCCATTCGCTCCGGCTTTGGTGATCGCTTGGCCGAGCATGGTGCTGGACCGGACACCAAAGCCGACCTGAAGCACCGCCACTTTGTTGAGGTCCTGAAGAAGGTCCGAGAAGCCCTTCTGCCTCGCATGTCTAGCAAAGCCTCTAGCTCGACAGAGGTCAAGGCTGCTACGTCAGATGAAATCAGCAACAGATTCGCTGGCCTGGCCGTCGAAGAGCCCTCGCAAGCCTTCCTGAACGCTCTTGATGTCGAGAGACCCACCCAGCCAACGGAAGATAAGACCATCTACGAAGCTGAGACTCTCGCTGAGCTCGAAGATGTTCTGTTCACTTATACCATCATGATGAACGACCTTGCCCGCATCCGGGCTACCATCCGGGCTACCATCCGGTGGATTTGGGAGAACTACCAGAAGGGCCTCTTCGATATCGCAGCGGCGGCTGTTGCTACCGACACAGCTCTCGCTTTGGCCCGCGGCATCATTGACGAGGCCGAACCCAACTTCAAGAACTTTGAGGAGGCTACCTGGGGTGTGCAACACAAGTTCTTCCTCGCTTGCTGTCTTCGCAAGGGCTACGACATCGACAGCGTCTTCTCTGATGATGCGTCTGACAACTTCAACTACGACATGTATGATCTTGCGGATGAGTGCTTCGTAAACGCTCATCGCTGTCTGCTTTCTTTCCTCGCCATTCTCTCTCCAGACCATTTGCCCATTATCAGGGAAGGCGTCATGGGCCACTATGATCCCACCAAAAACCGGGATAACCTGCCTGGACACGCAAAGTTCAAGGAAGATCAGATCCTACTCATGGAATTTCTGAGTGAGCTAACGGTTGTTACCCGTATCATTCCCAGCTATCCCGTCGAGGATGAATTCATGCGTGGAGTTAGAGAGATGGACAAGACAGGCAAGATCCCATTCTCACTCGTCTTTGCCGCCCAGACCTTCCTCGACATTCATCACCTGCTAAGAGCCGATGTTTCGCGAGGATCCAAGTTCATGCAGAATGAGATCAAGCACCTCAGTCAAACCCTCAAGGATCACCTTGAGTACCACAAGAAGAGCAAGTTGCGGATCAAGAACTGGCCCGAACGCATGGATGACATGCTGCGGTTGGTGATCAAGCAGGGGCAGGAGATTGTGGCGGACCCCGTCTACCAGTGCAAGGTTGGCTACTATCGGCGAAACAAGATACCGATTGCATCGTCTATGAGGCCCAACCGAATCCTGGACTATTCTCCAGTCCTTGCTGGCCTCAACCTGCTCAGTTTCCGAGGGGACATGTACTCCATTGGCCTCGACGCTGCAAACGCTTGGGGATCCATCCAGTATGCAACCCATCTCTACTCTGCGCTTCAGAATGAGAAGCTGGTTGATCCTCACTTTTGGCCCGACTTGGAAATGGCTCAAGCCCTTCTCCCTGATTCCAGCTTCTTTCCTGGAGGAAATGCCCCGAAGACTCGCAAGAAATACCTTGACACCTTCGTTCTCCAGATGGGGGCTGCTGGGGTCCCGCGCGGCATCAAGAAAGGCCTGCCAGTTTCATCCATCTTCGTGGAGAAGTATTTGAAGCGCACCGAAGTTCCGTGGACGCCCGAGAATATCCACGACATTGTTTCCCGTAGCGGGTTCGAGGCTAAGGGCGAACTGGGCAAAGGAAACTTGCTGATGTGGCAAATCGAGGAAAAGGACCAGAAGGATATTGAGAAGAAACGCGCGTTGGAGGTCAAAGGAAAAAAGCGCGAGGAGTACCTGCGACCGGATGAACTCATTCAGGCGGCAGTCATGGCTCTCCACGCGGAAGTCACGGAGATGTCGTTCCCTTGGTTGACGCTCCACAAGTCATGCTGGGAGATGATGAAGCTGGTTAAGGAGAAGAACCATCAGCGTTTGTCGCAGATCTTTGGAAGCGGCTACCTCAATGACAAGAGCCAAATGCCGTTTGTGATTGGGTACATCTTCATGACCACGTGCGGCGAGTGCCCCGGACATCTGAGGACCATGGACCTCATGAAGCAGGCCGCAGAGGCCATCAAGGAATATGCTACACGGGATTCGGGAGATCCGTGCTTGAAGCTGTTCGCTGAGATGGGACATCCTGTCCAGTTCGTCAACGAGGAGGAACTCATTGAGAACAATGCTTAGAGATAAGAAAGAAACGTGGTCCAAAGCCAATAGCATCTAGAAATGAGGAAGATGTAGCATAGTTGTGGTTCTTGAAGGGGATTAAATCTCGGAAGATTTGTGATGCTAGTTGGAAGAAACCACTTAATGACTGATATCTTCTAGTTCTTTCGTCCTCAACTTCAACCCATTATCTCATTCACTTGCGTATTGTCTCCATGCTTCGAGAACCCAAAGGTGTCGGGTATTCACAGCTGCCGTCTGATCTAGAAGAGAAATGCTCCAACCGTCAAAGTTGGCGGTCCATAAAAACCCCATCACCTCGCTCGCCGTCTTCCGCTTCCAGTGTTTTCTCAATCTGTTATGGGGTATTCCTGGCAGATGCCAGAATGCTCCACTTTGTCGTAACGCACGCTCTTCTGAGCGTGGATATACTCGATTAAGCATATTATGTCATGTAAGAGTACTCTCCCAGTCACCCTCCGTCAATGATGCGGACTTCCCGCACAAGCCTCTGAGAGAGTGCCCCGCGCGTCAACGCGTGCTTGTCAACGAAGGCGCATCCCAGTGCACATGGGTATATGAGGACTCTGGCTGGACTTCGTCAAGCCCAGTCATCTCTCCCTCTCTCCATCATCATCAGATAGATAAATCAACGATATCACCATCAACGTGGCGTTTCCATCATCAGTCAAGGTTGATTGGATTCTCAATCAATATTATATCAACCTACTATCTATCTTGCTTACGCTCTATAAAACCTCGTGTGTAAGGTTCCAGGTTGAGGCTTTCGTTAGTATTTGTCTTATACTTCCTTCAACAACACTGCCGCCCATCGTTATCTACGCACTATTGCTCTATCCAACAACCACCAGTTGCTCACTCTATCATTCTCCGTCAGCATCACTTGTGAAGCATCCCTTCGCGTAATAACGACCGACGACAGGTTAGGTAAATCATTATCATCACTAACTAACCTGGCGATTTATTCACAACAGTAGTACCACACCACCGCACTACAGATACGACACGACACCCAACCCATTACCATCATCATGGCCGCCTCACTGTCCGCCCCAACCGTCATGGCCGCCACACCCATCATCCAAATTTGCGCCCTAGTCGAGCTTAAAGGGTCGCAAAACATCCGCGACTGGAACCACTTTTTGCGAGTCGAGCTCGACGCAGAAGACCTGACCGAATACGTATTCGGTCCTGCTAGCGCCGTCCCTGAGCCCAACAAAAACCTCGACCCCGTGGCACACAAGGCCTGGAAGCTGGCGCGCGCCAAGGCCATGCGGATTCTGATTTCGACGTTGAGGAGGGAGACGGTGATTAGCAGGCTCGAGGGCTACGGCTGGGACAACGAGAACAGAGATCCGGCTTATGTTCGTCAGCTCGTTTGGAAGGTTTTTGGGTCTGGTGCTCCTGCCTTACCCTTGGTGTAAGAAGAGGCTGGATGGATCAGTGACATGGATGGGAGAGACGATAATGTCAACGATGCCCTCAGGGTAGGCTAAGAGCATGATCGGATTTTGCTAGAATCACTTCAAACAGATGAGATATGCACAATCAGACAAATAGGAAGCTCTAGAGTTCTTTCAAACGACGACCTCTCAAGTAAGAGGCACTCTCAATTTCAACCATAGCAAAAGCTAAAAAAAACATGACCTAGACCACGACACGAATTCTGCGTGCGTGTGAACTATCTCTCTGTACCCAAGATTATATGTAAATATCCAAACAGATAATCCCGTAAGTCCGTATCCGTCTTCTTTTCCAAAGAAGATGTCCAAAAAAGCCAAGAAATAAAAAAAGCGCCCAATGACAATGCAAAGAACTTTCTATGTTGTTGTTGTTGTTGTTCTCGTGTCGTGGTGTGTCTCTCTCAGAAAGATCAACAAACACACAAGAGTCATCATCCATCATTCCCGAAAGTCCAGGGGGGAATCCCAAAAAAGCCACAGTATAAGGAAAAATGCTGATGGAAACTGAATCGTTCATCACAAGGAAATCATCACAGACAGCTCCTTAAACGACGGGGCCAGCCTTGATGACATCCTCAGTAGCCTCGCTCTCGTACTTCTTGAAGTTCTCGAGGAAGAGACCACCGAGCTTCTTAACCTCGGTGTCGAACGAGTCGGCACCGGCGGTCCAGGCGGTCTTGGGGTTGAGGAGCTCCGAGGGAACACCGGGGCAGGTCTTGGGGACCTGGAGGTTGAAGACCTCGTAGTTCTCGTACTCGACGTTGGCGAGCTCGCCCGAGTGGATGGCGTCGAGGATGGCGCGCGTGTACTTGAGCGGGCAGCGCTTGCCGCCCTGGGCGAAGCCGGCGCCGACCCAGCCGGTGTTGAGCAGCCAGGCGTTGGCGTTGTGGCCCTCGATCTTCTCGGCGAGCATCTTGGCGTAGCGCATGGGGTGCAAGGCCAGGAAGGGCTGGGCGAAGCACGAGGAGAAGGTCGCCTGCGGCTCGAGAATGCCGTCCTCGGTGCCGGCCATCTTGGAGGTGTAGCCCGAGATGAAGTGGAACATGGTCTGGGCCGAGTCGAGCTTGGAGATGGGAGGGAGCACACCGCGGGCGTCGCAGGTGAGGAGGATGATGTTCTTGGGGTGGTTGGGCGACAGGCAGGGGATCTTGGCGTTGGGGATGTACTCGATGGGGTAGGCGCAGCGGGTGTTCTCGGTGAGGGTGGCGTCGTCGTAGTCGACCTCGCGGGTCTCGGGGTTGAAGACAACGTTCTCGAGGACGGAGCCGTAGCGGATGGCATTGTAGATATCGGGCTCCTTCTCGGCGGAGAGACCGATGGTCTTGGCGTAGCAGCCACCCTCGATGTTGAAGACACCACGGTCAGACCAGCAGTGCTCGTCATCACCGATGAGGCGACGGTTGGGGTCGGCGGAGAGGGTGGTCTTGCCGGTGCCAGAAAGACCGAAGAAGAGAGTGACATCGCCATCCTTGCCCTCGTTGGCGGAGGAGTGGAGGGTGAGGATGTTGTGCTTGACGGGGCCCTCGTAGAACATGACGGTGAAGACACCCTTCTTCATCTCACCGGCGTACTCGGTACCGAGGATGACCATCTCCTTGTCGGCGAAGTTGATGGCAACGGAAGTGGTGGAGGACATGCCCTCAGTGAAACGGTTGGCGGGGAAAGAACCGGCGTTGTAGATGGTGTAGTCGGGGTGGAAGTGCTCGAGCTCCTCACGGGGAGGGCGGATGAGCATGTTGCGCATGAAGAGAGCATGGTAGGCGCGGGCGCAGACAACACGAACGCGGATGCGGTACTTCTCGTCCCAGCCGGCATAACCGTCGACGACGTAGATGCGATTCCTGGTGTTGAGGTAGTCGATAGCACGCTCGCGGTTGATCTTCCAGACCTGTAGTGATGAGAGTTAGCAAGTGGTGACGATGAGGGTGGCCACGTGATCAGGGATCGCCGTTGGCCCGGATGAAAAAAAGGGGTTCGGTTGCGGGGAAGGCCGAGTGGTTTCCCGAGCGGGAGCGGGGTGCATTGGGTGAAATGTGGGGCATTTGGGGCCGTGACCGATTCGGGACAAGTGCTGCAGGCAATGACGACAAGTCGGGCGGGACCCACATGGCGCCAATGCCACTGCTGCCACCGCTCACCATGACCGAATGACACCGACTTTGAATGACACTGACAGGACATCAAAGTCACCCAAAGTCGCCAAGAACAATGACATGAAGTCGTGCTCTGCTTGGCAAAATCCAATGAGTGGAAATGCAACCGCAGTCTGCCGACCGCACATCGCTGTTCGAGTGCGAAACTGGTCGCGTGCCTGTGCAACCATTCAATGCCAATGCCGCCGCCAATGGATGCATTGGGACGGTGGGTGCAACCAACAGCCAACCCCCGGTCATGCCAAACGGAAACAAAGTCAAAGAAAATCAATGTGTAAAAAGTGCAATCGTTCTTACCTCGGGGCTCATGGGCTTGTTGACAGGTCCCCACCTATTGAGACGATGTTAGTAAGTCTGTTGTTAGGTCAAATAGAGCAGTGAGATTTGAACGTACCAGATGTCGTTTTCTGATGAAGGCTCCTTGACAATGCGCTTATCTGAGGGAGAACGGCCAGTCTTCTTGCCGGAGTAGGCGGTAAGAGCACCGCTGGATGTGATGGCAGTGCCGGTCTCATAGACGAGGGCATCCTCGTAGAGGGAAGCAACTGAAGGGTTGGCGATCTGCCGAGGGTTAGTTATGCCACCTTCAAGCACGGTGGCCATTTTCGAAGAGTCCAAACTCGAACCAACAGGCGGTGCATATGCAAGCTCCTTCATGTTGATATCGAATGTTGGACTTTTCGAAGGGAATTGGCGATGAGAAGAGAGGGACGTACAATAGCGACTCTGTCATAGTCGATGTGAGCTTTTTGATGGAGCTCCTCCTCTAGCTCTGTGTGCTCGACCTGGGGCCTGTTGAAGTCATCGTTAGCACCTCTGTCCAGGTAGCGAGTTGTGTTGCCATGGGGATTGCTCACTTGACACCACCAGGGTGGAGGTTGGTCTTGTTGACGTGGTCGTGGTTAAGCACTATTCGAGACGAGTCTGTTAGCGATGGTGAACTTTGTCAAGTCTGTTGAGCAGTCTGGGCTGCAAGTGCTTTGGCCAACAGGTGAGGACGGATGCTGGAGACGACGATATGACGACCATTGGTCATGAGGGGCGTTGTATGCAAGGTGTATGTGTAATGTGTATGCGTGGGCATTGTCGAGGCTTGAGAGCTTGAAGTTGGGGTACTTGCTGTTGGATGATTTGTTGTTGATGAGACTAGAAGATTGACCAGACGAGAGAAGTTGTATTCGAGGGCCTTTGACGTTGGGATCTGTGTAGGGAGAAGCGGTTCTGATGACGGGGTCGCTCATGGTACTTATTGTTTTCAATGCGGCGGTCGCAAAGGCCGGACGACTGGAAAGCCAAGGGGCCGTACTCGGGAGTGGAAACGGTTACGGGCTCGTGGTTGAACGGTGACAGGGGATGCGGGAGCGCAGCTGGAGACAACGACAAGTAAACTGGAGAAAGATCCGCTTGGACAGGGTTTAGGGTGAAGACTGATGTTGTTCCAGGAGAACCCGAGGTGAAGGAGACATGGAATATAAAGACGTGGATACCAAAGGGTAGCCGGTGCCCAATCAAGAGTGACGTGTTTGCCTGGACCGGGTGTAAGTGGGATCTAACGGGCAGCACGGGGCAGAACGGAGGCAGACGGAGGAAGAGGGTACACTAGTAAGACGGCATGGATAGTCTGTTTCCTGTTCGGGCTGAAGACAGTTTCCACGAAGACTTTCCGGAGCCAGGCCTCGTCAACCCCTGTCCCCCTGCCGTCCTTCGGGAATCATCACGACGATGCGAATCAACCACAATTAGATCTCCCTGTTACGAACTGTACGCGACCGTATGGCGGTGTTTCATCAGGGGTTGCGCCGGCGTGGTTTGAGATGGTTATTGCTGAATTTGGTCAAGCTTGAGTGCGCTGGCGTGTGAAATTAGTGTGCCGTGTTGGCAAAGTCCAGTTTGATATCAGCCTCGAGGTTCGTTTCTGCTGTCGTTGAATCTTTTCTGGCTCTGGATGCAAAATTGAATCATGTTCAATGTTGGAACGGATTCAATGAAGATTTCTCTGTGCCGAACTGTGAGATTTCACACCGGTCTTGCGTCTCCCACTTTACTCCGTCTTTTCAACTTGCACAAAATTCCAGTGTAGTTGGCGGTAGTTGGCCCGGGACTCGGCCATCTTGTCAATGTCTTGGCTGTAGTCCGAGACAATCAGTTTTGTGTTGCAAGAGCTGCCATTCCGAAGGAAGCAAGTAGAATTCTTCCATCATGTTGTGCTTTGGTTTCAGTTGAAGGCCGATGTTGGATTCGTGATTGTACGCAGTACGAATCGAGAGAACTGAATGGAAGGAGACGGTGAAGGAGAAACGGTCACTGTGTGCAACGGTGTACCGTGGTCACTGCACCGTTAACACTCCACGCCTTGGATGAGCCAGGGGTTAGGGGAAGCGCTGTGGAGGCTACGGGGGAATTTGGGCCTGCCAAACCGGGATTCCACTTCAGAGCAGCGCCTAACAATTTTATCAGCACTCGTTTTTAGAAGCTGAAGTGGAAAGCCGTGAATTCGGCTAGCTCTGTTTTTGATCTCTGCTGGGCACATGACCCCCTCTGAAGCTTAAGCCCGTCACCGTCGTCAAGGTGAAGTTCTGTTTCCCCTGCATTTGGCGCCCAGGATGTTGACTGACATGATGATGCCCAAGCCCCAAAGGAAGGAATTGAGTCGGAGCGTACCGGCTTGACCGAAGTTCATCCGTATCTTGTGACGGCAAGCTGCCTGTGTGAAAGTATGGTTATGCTTGCTTTGACGCTGTCGACTCCCCTCGTGTTCAACTCTTTGATCAGGGGTAATACTTACTCCGAAGGATCAAAGGAAGCCAATCAAGTGGTGGGGAATTGGGAAGACATCGAAGAGTCAGAGTTTTGGGAAGACGGTATCCGGTAGGGCACCCGTTCGCCAATTCGCGGCTCTGCGGTGATCCAAGTTTTAGTGACTGGCACGGTATCGCAGGCCAAGAAGTTCGAGATG